CCGCCTCCTGGATTCAAGCAATTCTCCTGTCTCAGCCTCCTGAGTAGCTGGGACTACAGGTGCGCACCACCATGCCCAGCTAATTTTTGTATTTTTAGTAGAGACGGGGTCTCACCTTGTTGACCAGGATGGTCATTATCTCTTGACCTCGTGATCCACCCACCTCGGCCTCCCAAAGTGCTGGGATTATAGGCGTGAGCCACCACACCTGGCCTCCTTTCTTTTTTTAAATAGAGATGGGGTCTCACTATGTTGCCCAGGCTGGCCTTGAACTCCTGGGCTCAAGTGATCCTCCTGCCTTGATCTCCCAAAGTGCTGGGATTACAGGTGTGAGCCATGGTGTCCGGCTCAGGGTCATTATTTTTTTTACTAGGCCTGTCCAGTGCGGAGAAATGATAGTGGTAGAATTGGTGCCTCTTTCTAGAGCATGTCCGTCTGCCCTCTGCCACAGCTCTACCCAGCTTGGAGTCCCATTCGCTAATTTCAAGCTCTTCATCACAGATTACGAGAAAAATTCAATACAGTTTATTAAACAGATGGCAAGGGCCCTTCCAAGAAGCATTAACAACTCTTCTTATAATGAATACCAACAAATTAGCACAGCTGCCACCTCCCACTCTCACAAGGGTATATATAATAAGTAAGATTTAAGCCTGCAGAAGAGAAACAGTCCATAAATACCAAGACTAATAACAATAGCATAATGTTTTTCAAGGTAATTCACAAATTTACATCTCAGCCCTCCCAGGACTAGCCCATCTGAGGGGTCGCTGAGATTATTGGAAAAATATACTTTAGGAATCATGGCAGAGTTTCCACATATAGCTGCCGGTCATTTTTTTAAGGCTGCTTAAAAAAAAAGTTCCTGCCATTCCAGAATGAATAGATAGCCTTAGGTGGTGGCCTCCTGGGCTCCAGAGGTCAACGATTTTAATGCAAGGTCCATGCATTCTGAAAACTGCTTAAAAATAGTCAGGATGAAGCATTTACGTTCAAAGGTTTCTGTTGGCATAGAAATGTTTGTTTCTGGTGCATCTTGAAATATGAGTTTGTTGAGTTGCTCTATGATTTCGTCAATAACAGATTTGCTGTCTACCTGACTGATCACCTTGAGATGTGCCCGGATGGCTAAACTGTGGATATTGTTTGGCGGCTGGGCGTCGGGGATGAAACACGGCAGCGTGTAGTTCTGGGACACGGGCACCCCCTTCTCTTCCTCCACCTGTGGAATGAGGAGAAATAGTGAGTGCTTGGTTTGCAATAACAGCTGAAAGTCTCAGCCGAGAATGTTTGCATGCTTCCTCCGTGACCCGCCTGGTTGATATATTTATCTGACCAGTGTCATGACTCTATGAGGCTGTGCCACCCCGAACCCCATTTCCAGACAAAACTAGAGCTCAGGTGGTCGCAGTCCTGAAGCCTGTGCTCAGAACTGCTGCTCCATCCAGCTGAGGCATCCCCAGCCTTCCAGAATCCATGCTCACATGCCCAGGGAGGTGGGAATTGGAGCACATCTGGCCTTCCATGGCAGCTCCCTGCCCTGTGGGACTCTGTGTTGAAGCCACACACGCCCCACTTATAGAGGAGAGTGTTAGGCTTGTCTGGGAAGGCCTCCGAGATGCAAGGAAGAGTTTTTCCAAACTAACCAAGGAGTGCGGACCACTCCCTCCCTTCCCTCTTCCTAAGGACTAACCATTTTTTGGGTCAGACCAAATTGCTAGCAACACCTCACTCAGCAACCTGAACTGCCCAGTCACCTTTGCTTGGTAACAACCTCAGCCTTTTATAAAAGCCAAGGCTGAAGTCTAAATGCCAAGGCAGGGCCAGGCTCGATGGCTCACGCCTGTAATCCCAGCACTTTGGGAGGCCAAGGTGGGCAGATCTTGGGGTCAAGAGATGGAGACCATCCTGACAAACATGGTGAAACCCTGTCTCTATTAGTAAAAGATACAAACATTAGCTGGGCGTGGTGGCACGTGCCTGTAGTCCCAGCTACTCAGAAGGCTGAGGCAGGAGAATCACTTGAACCTGGGAGGCAGAGGTTGCAGTGAGCTGAGATTGCACCACCGCACTCCAGCCTGGGCAACAGAGTGAGACTGTCTCAAAAAAAAAAAAAAAAAAAAAATGCCAAGGTAGATGAGAAGGGTAATGCCAATTTTATGAATTGTTTCCAAGTTTGGGTATTTGTTCATTGGACAAAGCTATCTTGTCTGGGCGCGGTTGCTCACGCCTGTAATCCCAGCACTTTGGGAGCTTAAGGCGAGTGGATCAGAGGTCAGGAGATCGAGACCATCCTGACCAATATGGTGAAACCCCATCTCTACTAAAATACAAATATTAGCTGGGTGTGGTGGCACGCATCTGTAATCCCAGCTACTCGGGAGGCTGAGGCAGGAGATTCCCTTGAACCAGGGAGTCGGAGGTTGCAGTGAGCCAAGATCGCGCCATAGCACTCCAGCCTGGCGACAGAGGGAGACTCCATCTCAAAAAAAAAAAAAAAAAAAAAGGCCATCTTCATCTGTCTAGTTGCCCCCATCCCTTCCTGGCATGGCCACAGACCGAGCTTCAGGTCTGAAGAGAGGAGCCTCTTTGGAGGGCAATGGAAGGCATTTTTAAAACATGGTTTGGAAAAGGAATCTCTACAGCACTCACGTCTTTCAAAAGTATCTTCGACAGGAACTGCAGTTCCTCAACTACTTTCTGTACTTCACTTGGTGGTAGCAAATGGACAGGCAGCGTGTGGCAGGCCAGCCAGCTTCCCAGGCAGCAGAGCAGGAACAGCACAGATGTGGCAGGGCCTGAGGAGAGAACGATGTGGTGAGCACATGCCTCACACACCCCTGCCCACCCCGGCTCCATCCCTCCAGCCGCTACTGGGCCATCCCTGGGGCGAGTGCTTCCAGAATCTTCCTGGCGACATAGATGGTGCCCAAGACTTTGGAAGCACCAGGACCATTGATACCTGAGTGAGAGGCCATGGCGAGAGAGTGTGAGGTTGGCTTCGGCAGGGGCGCTGGAGCCAGATGTGTTAGCCATGGCTGCCTGGAGATATATAAAGGCCAGGCCGAGGAGGATGAGCTGTCAGCGTCCTGCCCGTGGCAAAACCGCTACTCAGCTTTTCTCCAGAAAACACTCGAAGTTCTGCCGGTCATGGTGGGTGAAAGGGCTGGAAGGAAATGCTGAGGTTACCCTCAAGGTGGGCAGATGCCTGACTCAGTGCAGATTCGCACCGACTTCACAGGAAGGCACATGCATCTTTGCCTTTTCTTCCTGGAAGGAGCCTGTTGATTTGACTAGACAAAATTTTGAAGCCCAGTATTGACTGACACGATCTACCACCAGGGAGCGGGTGACCCACAGGGGTTCATGGGCAGGGCCCACGGGGAATTTCTGGGGAGGAAATGCGAAGCTGGCATAAGATGCGCAGAATGTGGTATCTCTGGAAATTTCTGCAGCCTATGCCCATGCCAGTGTGAGGGACCACCCCGTAGCTGCTGTGAGTGCGGCGGGTTGAAGGCTCCATCTCAACCCTGTGTGGCCTTGGACGCCACTGGACTCTCTGCCATGGCTCTGCAACCTCAGGGCCCAGAACCAGACACTGTGCTCCAGAGTTACTGGCTGAAATCCTTGTTCATATGGCCTTGAACTCCTGATCTCGAGATCTGCCTTGGCTTCCCAAAGTGCTGGGATTACAAGCGTGAGCCACCATGCCTGGCCTCAATTTTTGTATTTTTAGTAGAGATGGGGTTTCACCATGTTGGGAGGAGGTCAGTCTGGGCGGCCCGTAGAACCCAAGATACGCAGAGTGACACAGCCAGGAAGCCCCACCACCCTTCACCCCAAGGCTCCTGCAGCCACCACTGACTTTTTCTTGACTTCCCAAACTGCGACAGTATGACTTTCACCACCCCAATAATTTAATCAAAATCCTCTAGCGAAGTCCGTGGTAGGCATGACTTTCATCTAAAGGTGTTTACTACCACAATTCTGCTGCATTGCCTGGCAAATGGATTTTGTAGATGTAGTCATGGTTACCAATCAGTTTGCCTAAGATAGAGACATTACCCTGGTCCCCGGCAGGCCCCAACGCCTTCCCTTGAGCCCATAAAGCAGAAGAGGAAGATGGAGAGATTCCGAGTGAGAGAAGGGCTCGGCCGACCTGCCGTTGCTGGCTTGAAGATGGAGGGGGTGGCGTGAAAAGTTCGAGAAGGAAATTATTTGGTCAATAACTAAGGGAGACCTGTGGGGATCGCTCCCGTGTGAGGCCCCTAGGAAATGGGCCTCACCATCTGGTGAACTTGAGCCCGGACACAGATCCCTGGTTGGGGGAGTCGAGCTGAGGGAAAGCAGGAACCGAGAGAGGAACTATATGTTATTCAAAATAATCAACAGTCATTACTTTATGGATATGAGGACTTGGGAGGCATTGTGTCCACTTTTGGCTTCTTATGGTTTATTGCTTGATTGTGTTCATTTTGGACCCTTGTTGCCTTCATTGTAAAATATTAACTTAAGTATTTACACTTGGTAACTTACTTACCCTAACTTACTGGGTGTAACTGTAACTTACTTACCATGGCTTACAGGGCGTGACTGTAACTTACTTACCATAGCTTACAGGGCGTGACTGTAACTTACTTACCATGGCTTACAGGGCGTGACTGTAACTTACTTACCATGGCTTACAGGGCGTGACTGTAACTTACTTACCATGGCTTACAGGGCGTGACTGTAACTTACTTACCATGGCTTACAGGGCGTGACTGTAACTTACTTACCATGGCTTACAGGGCGTGACTGTAATCTACTTACCTTGACCTATTGGGCGTAACCTACTTACTGGGCGTAGCCTACTTACTGCGCTTAACTTACTTACTGGGTGTAACTTGCTTACTGTAACTTAAGTATGTTAATCTGGTGTAAACAACTTTAACTTCAGAAAAGTATATAATGAAACACATTGCAGAAATAAAATTGCTGCATGAGCATAGTGCATGTAGCCCTCCAGACCTCGCCTTTTCTATCTCCTTTTTTTCTGGCGCGTGCTCTCTTCCAGGTTTGGGACCCTCTCGCTGGACGAGATTCCCGGGCTCACGTTCAGTTCACAACATAACCACTGGGCTTGGAAGAGGATGCTGAACCCTAGGTGAGCATGCTGAACCCTAGCCAGCCAGCACTTTTATTTTAGCTCAGTGAGTTCCTGAGCAAAGAAGGTATCCACAGCATGCTAGGATCTTGACCTACAGACACTATGAGAAAGAAAGTGTGTAAGTGTGTGTGTGTGTGTAATGGACAGCATCTTGCTCTGCCACTCAGGCTGGAGTACAGTGGTGTGATCATGGCTCACTGCAGCCTTGACCTCCCAGACTCAAGGAGCCCTCCTACCTCAGCCTCCCAAGTAGCTGGGACTATAGGCCCATACCACACCATCATGCCTGGCTAATTTTTGTATTTTTGTAGTGATGGGGTCTGACCATGTTGGCCAGGCTGATGTTGAACCCCTGGACTCAAGCAATCCCGCCTCAGCTTCCCAAAGTGCTGGATCACAGGCATGAGCCACTACACCTGGTCACATTTGTGTGTGTGTTTTAAAAATTTTTATTTATTATTTTGTGATGGGGTCTGGCTCTGTTGCCCAGGCTGGGGTACAGTGGCACAATCTTGGCTCACTGCAACCTCTGCCTCCTGGGTTCAAGTGATTCTCCTGCCCTGGCCTCCTGAGTAGCTGGTATTACAGGCGTGAGCCACCATGCCTAGCTAATATTTGTATTTTTAGTAGAGACAGGGTTTCACCATGTTGGCCAGGCTGGTCTCAAACTCCTGACCTCAAGTGATCCACCCACCTCAGCCTCCCAAAGTTCTAGGATTACAGGCAGGAGCCACCACTCCTGGCCGCATTTGTGGATTTAAACTGCTGTTTGTACTATTTGTTATGGCAGCAATGGGGAACTAATACAGACCCAGAGACTGCATGTTGTCAGCCTTACTGGGGTTTCAGCCTTCATTTTACGTCACCTTCTATGGCATGAAACATTACCAACCACTTCCCCCTTCATGATGACCCCTTGTTCTGCTCCCGTAGCGTCCAACCCATTCTGCCCCTCTCCCTGGCTCCATGGTCTCCACCAGTGATCTGGATTTGTCACACTTCAGTGTCTGTCTCCTTCACTCTCCAGACCTGAATGTCCACCTGAACATCCCACCGGCACCTCCAAATCAACATGCCCAAAGTGGGTGAGAACAGGGCAATAGTGACGTGGATGGATTGTGGAAATGTTTAGCAGGGTAAGTATGTAAGACATGGCTTATTTATTTTTTTTGAGTCGGAGTTTCAGGATGGAGTTGCCCAGGCTGGAGTGCAATGGCACGATCTCGGCTCACCGCAACCTCCACTTCCCAGGTTCAGGCGTTTCTCCTGCCTCAGCTTCCCATGTAGCTGGGATTATAGGCATGCGCCCCCACACCCGGCTAATTTTGTATGTTTAGTAAAGACAGGATTTCTCCATGTTGGCCAGGGTGGTCTCAAATCCCCGACCTCAAGTGATCTGCCTACCTCGGCCTCCCAAAATGTTGGGATTACAGGCGTAAGCCATGACACCTGGCCAGAGATGACATTGGATTGGATATGGGGATAGCGGTGAGGGAAGAGCTGTTACCCAAATATCAAACTGAGAGCATCACAGGCCTTAGGCCTTTGGGGCTTGGGTGAGATGAATTTCGGCTCTTTGCTTGTTGGTTGGCTGGATTTGGTTTTGTTTTCTTTAAGAGGCAAAGTCTCACTCTGTCACCCAGGATAGAGTGCAGTGATGCCATCACAGCTCACTGCAGCCTCAAACTCCTAGGCTTCCTGCCTCAGCGTCCTGTGTAGCCAGGTAGCACACAGCACACGCCATGCCTGGCTAATTTTTTAACTTTAATTTTTGTAGAAATAAGATCCTGCTATGTTGCCCAGGCTGGTCTTGAACTAGGCTCAAGCAATCTACCCACCTTGGCCTTCCAAAGTGCTGGGGCTCCAGGTATGAACCACACACCCAGCCTAATTCAGTTTTGTTTGTTTTGTTTTTGAGATTGAGTCTCACTCTCACTCAGGCTGGAGTAAAGTGGCCCAATCTCGGCTCACTGCAACCTCCACCTCCCGGGTTCAAGGGATTCTCCTGCCTCAGCCTCTAGAGTATCTGGGATTAGAGGTGCCCACCACCACACCTGGCTAATTTTTATATTTTTGGTAGAGACAGGGTTTCGCCATGTTGGCCAAGCTGGTCCTGAACTCTAGAGCTCAAGAGATTAGCCTGCCTCGGCCTCCCAAAGTGCTGGGACTCGGCCTCCCTGGTGCGAGCCACATGGCCAGGCTGATTCAGCTTTTGACACAGTGAATAAGAATGTTACGGAATTCTCAGCTGAAGACACACAGCAGGCCATTGGACGTGTGGGCCTGAGCGTGAAGGAAGGAGCTACCAACATAAATGTGGGTGCCAACGAGGTATGTGGCAGATAAAACTGCAAGCCGGTAAGAGATGAGCAGTGTGATGTGTGGGAGCCAAGCGTGGAGACCTGAGATATGCCTTCATCAACAGGACAGGGAGAAGATGATGATTTAGTCTAGAACATGGAGAAGGTGCTCTCAAGAGAAAAAGAAGGCCAGGCGTGGTGGCTCACGCCTGTAATCCCCGCACTTTGGGAGGCAGAGGTGAGCAGATCATGAGGTCAAGAGATTGAGAACAGCCTGGCCAACATGGTGAAACACTGTCTCTACTAAAAATACAAAAACTAGCTTTGTGTGGTGGTGGTGCCTGTAATTCCAGCTACTCAGGAGGCTGAGGCAGGAGAATCACTTGAACCTGGGAGGCGGAGGTTGCAGTGAGCTGAGATCGCACCACTGCACTCCAGCCTGGTGACAGAGCAAGACATTGTCTCAAAAAAAATGAGAGAGAGAAAAAGAAAAGTACCAGAAATACATGTTGTCATGGAATAAGATGAAAAGTAACTTTCAAGAAGGAGGAAATGGTTGACATCATCAAATCCATGAAGAGGTGAAATACGATAAAGACTGCGGAGATTCACTGGATTGGGCAACATGTGGTCACAGGAACTTTGCTAGGAGAGTTTGAATGCATTTTTGGTTTGGTATATTGTGGTGGTTTGGGAAGTGAGGAAAAAGTGAGCGTAGGCCGGCTGTGGTGGCTCACGCTTGTAATCCCAGCATGGGAGGGAGGCCAAGGCAGGCAGATCACTTGAAGACAGGAGTTTGAGACCATCTTGGCCAACATGATAAAGCCCCATCTCTACTAAAACTACAAAAATTAGCCAGGCATGGTGGTGGGCACCTGTAATTTCAGCTACTCAGGAGTCTTGAACCCGGGAGGCGGAGGCTGCAGTGGGCCGAGATTGTGTCACTGCACTCCAGTCCAGTGACACAGCAAGACTCCATCTCAAAAAATAAATAAGGGAAAAAAAGGGAGCCTAGACCACTGTGTCAAGAAGCGTGGATGAAAAGGAAGAGAAAAAGAGACAGTGGCGGCTGCACGGGGACTTGGGATGAAGGGTGGAAGGGCTTCCTGGTGGGTCCCTTCTGTGCATCTTGGGTTCTATGTACCACCCAGACCTGACCTCATCCCTGAGCCTCCTAACCAATGGCTGATTTGACAGACGCCCATTGATTGGCATCTGGACCTTCACTTGTTTCAAACAGGATGTTTGATTTCCCCTCTGAGTCTTGTCTTTCCTCGCTGCACATCGTCCACCTGTTGCTCCATCAAAATCCCAGGAGCCCCATCTGCGGTTCATCTCCTTGACTTATTTATCATATGGACTCACAGATATTTATTTTATTCTTTGAGGGCTATGCAGGGTGGCTCATACCTATGATCCCAGCACTTTGGGAGGCCGAGGTGGGTGGATCACTTGAAGTCAGGAGTTCGGGACCAGCCTGGGCAACATGGTGAAACCCCGTCTCTACTAAAAAATACGAAAACCTTAGCCAGGCATGGTGATGCATGCCTGTAGTCCCAGCTAGCTACTCAGGAGGCTAAGGTGGGAGGACCACTTTAGCTTAGGAGGTTCAGGCTTCAGTGAGCTGCTGTGATCACTCACGCCACTGCACTGTAGCCTGGATGACAAAGTGAGACCTGTCCCCCCCCCGCCGCTCCCAAAAAAGGGATATGGTCATCTTTTTGCCTTAAATCCCAGTTTTGGATAATTTTTCTAATAACAGTACAGTTGTCCTGATACCGTTTAGTTAAAAAGAATGAGAGATGTTGATGTGTTCTTCCATGTGGGGGATCCGTCAGAGCAGCCAGAGCGGTGGGAAAAACTATAGGAAAAGGAGGCAAACCTACTGAAAAGTCAAAGGTTTTGGGCCCTGGGGGAGAATAGCTGATGGCAGCCGTTATCTAGCCCCGAGGCAGCCTGCAGGAGTGAAGGGGGAAGTTATCTTGATCAGGCTTGTTTGAAGCTGTCCAGGAACTGACCTTTGAACATCCACTGGTGAAGTTCCCTGAAAGGGGAACAATAAGTGTTAATTACCTACAGGTTGTGTTTGCTCCAGGCATTTGGCATTGGGCCTGCACTGGATAAAAGCAAGCAGCTCCAGCGTCTGGGGCTGCCTCTCTGGCCACTAGAGCCAGGCATTCCCCTCGCTGCTCTTACACTGCATGCCCGGTGAGTACTCATTTCATCCCCTGGCCAGAGTCTGCAGGACAGACCCAGAACCTCCAAAATTCATTTGTCGGAACCTGATGCCCAGTGTGATAGTATTAAGAGGTGGGGTCCTTTGGGAAGTGATTCAGTATGGGGGCTCCTCATGAATGGGATTAATGTCCTTACGAAAGGGGCTTCATGGCTGGGCGAAGTGTGGATTGCCTGACCTCAGGAGTTCGAGACCAACCTAGACAACATGGTGAAACTCCATCTCTACTAAAATACAAAAAATTAGCCGAAAGTGGTCATGCGCCTGTGATCCCAGCTGCTCAGGATGCTGAGGCAGGAGAATCGCTTGAACCTGGGAGACAGAGGTTGCAGTGAGCCGAGATTGGGCCCCTGCACTCCAGCCTGGGCGACAGAGCAAGACTCCATCTGAATAAAATAAAATAAATAAAAAATAGGCCGGGCGCGGTGGCTCAAGCCTGTAATCCCAGCACTTTGGGAGGCCGAGGAAGGTGGATCACGAGGTGAAGAGATCGAGACCATCCTGGTTAACATGGTGAAACCCCGTCTCTACTAAAAATACAAAAAATTAGCTGGGCATGGTGGCGCGTGCCTGTAATCCCAACTACTCAGGAGACTGAGGCAGGAGAATTGCCTGAACCCAGGAGGCGGAGGTTGCAGTGAGCCGAGATGGCGCCATTGCACTCCAGCCTGGGTAACGAGCAAAACTCCGTCTCAAAAAAAAAAATTAATTAATTAATTAATTAAAATAAATACATAATAAAATGAGGTCCGAGTGCTTAACCAGTTATACAGGTGGACAGTGATAAAACCCCTGACGCAGGCTTAGAGAGACCCACCCTGGCACCCACTGGCTGGCTGGAGATGTTTGGCCTTGGGGTCTGTTCTCCTTTATCGATCTGTCAGAGGGGTATAGGATGACTTTTGGTGGGGAGTGCTTGAGAGCAGTTAAGAACAGGTCAGCTACGGCGCTAACTGCCTGCGGGAGCTGCCACACCTGGAACCACCATCTGTGATTCCATTTTACAGATGAGGGCAGAAGAGAAAACCCAGGTGGTTGGGGCCGAACTGTCTGTGATCCGGGTGGGGGGCCTTTTCCTCGCCGCAGGTGCGCGCACCTGGAGAGGCCTCAGCCCTCGCGCACGCGTCCTGGCGGTTGCCGGGCAACGCGGTCCCGCGGCCCCGCGGTCATGGAGGCGTCCTCGGAGTCCGAGTCTGAGGCCGGGCATGGGACCCAGCGGCCCGGGACGGGGACCGTGAGCGCGGCCGTGCACGAGCACCTGCGGAAGCTGTGTCTGCGCGAGTTCCCGTGCGGCGCCGGCAGCTGGGTGCGGGCGCCGGGGCCGGGCTCTGGGGGCCTGGAGCTGCTGCAGGGAGGGACGTGCCCGGGCGAGCAGGGTGGGCCGAGGGGCTGGCGCAGGGGCGGGCTAGTCCCTGGGGCCTAGGATCTGCGCATTTTGGGGGCCGCCGATGTGGGGGGCGGGTGGGGCTCCGGGGTAACGGTGGGGCCCGGGCCGTGGGTACTGCCTGGGGGAACGCAGGGCTCGTCCTGAGCACGTCAGCTGACCTGGGCCGGGGCTTCTCCCTGACTTGAAGACGCCAACACCCCAGATTTCCAGTGGTCAGGCTCCTTTTGGGGTGAAAACCTTTTGTTTTGGTCAAAGAGTTCTGCAACTTTTCCCAGCCTCGGAGCATGTAATGAGAGCCCAAGGCAGCGTGAGAGGTGGCTCTGAGCCTGCAGCCTGCGACCTGGGGTCCAGGAGAAGGGGTCACTCCCCACCCCCATCCCATCTCCAGAGTCCTAGACCCTTCCCTCCCGTGGCTTCCACCACGAGGGGAGCCCAAGTGTGGCCCAGGAAGACCTCTTGCCTAGGCTGGAGTGCAATGGCGCCATCTCAGCTCACTGCAACCTTCGCCTCCCGGGTTCAGGCAATTCTCCTGCCTCACCCTCCCGAGTAGCTGGGATTACAGGCCTGAGTCACCACGCCCGGCTAATTTTTGTATTTTTAGTAGAGATAGGGTTTCACCATGTTGCCCAGGCTGGTCTCAAACTCCTGACCTCAAGTGATTCTCCCACCTCAGCCTCTCAAAGGAATGGGAGGTTTTACTTATTTTGTATCTCCCCTCATCTATAGTTATATCCGTGGCTAATAATCCATCAGAATTATTGATTACTGTCTAGATTGCTAAACTCTTTATTTTTATTTTTTTTTTTGAGACGGAGTTTTGCTCTTGTTACCCAGGCTGGAGTGCAATGGCGCAATCTCGGCTCACCGCGACCTCCGCCTCCTGGGTTCAGGCAATTCTCCTGCCTCAGCCTCCTGAGTAGCTGGGATTACAGGCACGTGCCACCATGCCCAGCGAATTTTTTGTATTTTTAGTAGAGACGGGGTTTCACCATGTTGACCAGGATGGTCTCGATCTCTTGACCTCGTGATCCACCCGCCTCGGCCTTCCAGAGTGCTGGGATTACAGGCTTGAGCCACCGCGCCCGGCCTATCCCCAGTCGTCCAGTTTTACGATCTGTTCCGTTTTGAGAGTCTGGCATCCACAGGGGGCTGTGTCACACTTGGAGAAATCCCCTCTCTGCCACTGCAGAATAAATCGCGATTTCTTCCTCAAACTTGGCGAACATGGAGAGAGCTGGTCCCCAGAGAGGAGGACGTGGTGAGCCCCGGGGAGGAGACGGTGGAGGCCCTACTGGGCCTGGTCCGCAGCCCCCACTCCCCCTGGGCTCTGCTGAATGACTCCAACGCGGAAGACAGTTTCCTGAGAGAACTGGCCATCCGGAACCCAATGACGATCAGAGACACCTTCTTCTACTCCTACTTCCGGTCCCTGCGGGTGGTGGACAAGGAGGTGAGTGCCGGGCGTGCGGGGGTGATGTCGGGGTGGCCGCTCCCCTAAGGGAGGTTGGGGGGAGGGCACCCTTCCCACAGCGCCTCTGGGGTCCTCCTCTGGGGGCTGGAGCCCAGGCCAGTCAGCTTCATCCCCCTGGCTTGTGCTCCAGGCCCGGCCGGCTGCTCTGTCATTCTTTTTTTTTTTTTTTTTTGAGACGGAGTTTCGCTCTTGTTACCCAGGCTGGAGCGCAATGGCGCGATCTCGGCTCACCGCAACCTCCGCCTCCTGGGTTCAGGCAATTCTCCTGCCTCAGCCTCCTGAGTAGCTGAGATTACAGGCGCACACCACCATGCACAGCTAATTTTTGTATTTTTTAGTAGAAACGGGGTTTCACCTTGTTGACGAGGATGGTTTCGATCTCTTGACCTCGTGATTCACCCGCCTCGGCCTCCCAAAGTGCTGGGATTATAGGCGTGAGCCACCGCGCCCGGCTGCTCCATCAGCCTTGTGTCTCTTTGTCCTTCACCCTGACCGCCATCTTCCATAGCTGAGTTCTGCAGTGGAACCAGCTGGATCTAGCAAAGGTTTTTTCGAAGAGTCTGTTTGAGTTTTACGTCCTCTAAACCATAGGGGTCAGGGGAGGGGAGGGTTGGTATAGTTCTAACTATTTTAATTTCTGTTATCAAAAAGCCACCTGTCTACATAGGTAGCAGAGCCCAGGCTGGGCGAGGTGGCTCACTGGTGCTAATAATCCCAGCACTTTGGGAGGCTGAGGCAGGAGGTTCCTTTGAGTCTAGGTGTTAGAGACCAGCCTGGGCAACATAGTGGGACCCCGACTCTATAAAATTTTAAAATGTAGGCCAAGTGCGGCAGCTCACGCCTGCAATCCCAGCACTTTGGGAGGCCAAGGCGGGCGGATCATGAGGTCAAGAGATCGAGACCATCCTTGCCAACATGGTGAAACCCCGTCTCTACTAAAAAATGCAAAAATTAGCTGGGCGTGGTGGTGCGCGCCTGTACTCCCAGCTACTCAGGAGGCTGAGGCAGGAGAATTGCTTGAACCCAGGAGGTGGAGATTGCATCGAGCCGAAATTGCGCCACTGCACTCCACTCTGCGCCTGGCGACAGAGCAAGACTGTCTCAAAAAAAAAAAAAAAAATTTAAAACATAGCCAGGTATGGTGGTGCATACCTGTAGCCCCAGCTACTCAGATGCTGAGGCACAAGGATCACTTGAGCTGGGGAGGTAGAGGCTGCAGTGATCATGATTGCACCATTGCACTCCAGCCTGGGTGACAGAATGAGACTCTGTCTCAATAAATCAATCAATCCAGCAAGCCAGCCCAAACATTGCCTGGAAACTTGGCCTCAGCCTTCTAAAGCCTTGGCTTGCTTTTTCCAGAGCCACTGGGAAGCGACATAGCAGTAGGAGACGAGTAGGTGACTGACTGGTAGTTTGCCAGGGACTTCCAGTGTCCGTGCATAAAGTTTCGCATCCTGGGAACAAACTCCTGTCCTGGGCAGACTGGCACATTGGTGACCCTGGAGGAGGAAGGCCCCACTGGGAAGGGGCCCTGATGTCTTTGAGGCCACGGGGAACTGAGGAGTCATGGATGAGTCGCTGCAGCTTCTGGTCGGACCCTGCTCTGGGTGATTCCCGAAGACCTTCACTGACTTCAGTGCCGAGTTCACTGTGGCTCTGGGGTACACAGGAAGAAGACAGGTTCATATGGTCTGACAAAGGACACAGGTCATTGGCCTGGAAATGATGTACCACCTACAGTCAGAGGAAGGATGGAGACTGGGAGGGACTCTTGGATCCTGGCAGAACGATGCAGTATGGGAACAGCCTCAGGGAAGCAGGGGGTAGGAATGGGGGGGAGGCACCTCTGATGAAGGAGCCACTGTCTTTCTACAGTAGAAAGACAGTGGCTCTGTGCCTGTGCTCCCTCACGCACCACAGCCCTCGGCTGCTTCTCCCCTCTTCCAGGTGACCCTGGTGGATAAAGACCTCCTGAAATTTCTGAAGCTGGAGGAATTGGTACTGAGTGCCAATCGAATCAAGGAGGTGGAAGCTGCCAATCTGCCCCCCACACTTAAGGTGAAGGAACCCTGGTCCGTGCCGAGTCTTTGGGCCAGCACTGCCCAGCACTGCCTGCATGGCATTTCCCTGCCCTGCCCGGCATAGGTGTGGCCAGTGTGCGTGGAGGCTAGGACCCAGCTCCAGGCTTTTCCAATGTAGGTCACTTTCCTCAAAAAGTTCATCATAGAATTACTGCAAGACCCAGCGCTTCAATTCCTAGGTGTATCCATGAAGGAACTGAAGACAGGGACGTAGCCGGAGTCTCGACTTCCAGAGTTCAGAGCTGTGCTACTCACCATAGCGGAAGGGTGGGCTCAACTCAAGTGTCTAAAAACAGATGAATGGATAAACAAAAAAATGTGGTCAGGCTGGGCGTGGAGGCTCATGCCAGTAATCCCAGCACTTTGGGAGGCCAAGGCGGGCAGATCACCTGAGGCCAGGAGTTTGAGACCAGCCTGGCCAACATGGCAAAATCCCATCTCTACTATACAAAAATTAGCTGGGTGTAGTGTCGCATGCCTGTAATCCCACCTACTTGGGAGGCTGAGACAGGAGAATCGCTTGAACCTGGGAGGCAAGAGCTGCAGTGAGCTGAGATCGCGTCACTGCACTCCGGCCTGGTGACAGAGTGAGACTCTGTCTCAAGAAAAAAAAAAGTGATCTCTCCATACAATAGAATGCTATTCACTCATAGAAAGGAATGAAGCAGGCCTATAATCCCAGCGCTTTGGGAGGCCGAGGTGGGCAGATTGCCTGTTCTCAGGAGTTCCAGACCAGCCTGGGCAACATAGGGAACCCCTTCTCTACAAAAATACAAAAGTTAGCCAGGCGTGGTGGCATGCTCCTGTAATCCCAGCTACTCAGGAGGCTGAGGCTGGAAAATCACTTGAACCTGGGAGGCGGATGCAGTGAGCCAAGATTGCGCCACTGCACTCCAGCCTGGGCGACAGAGCAAGACTCCACCTCAAATAATAAACAATAAATAAAATAAATAAAAAAACCCAGCAACAACAAAAAGGAGGTGAGGCTGTGGATAAGAACCATGAACCAGGAAGGTTAGTGTTGGGTTTATTCCGGATCCATCCAGGGGCCCTTTTGGCTTCCCAGGGAAGCATCCCCATGGGTTGAGAAGGTGCCAGATGCTATGCAGCTTCCCCACTGCCAGTCCAACATCACACCCCCACCCCCAATTCCAAATATTGACATGTCTTTCATGAAAGGAAAAGAAACCTCCCCAGACCTGCCGAAGGAATCTTTTCTTCCTGGGTCTTTCACAGGGAGGCTGGGTTGGGCCAGGGGGGCCGGGTGTCAGTAATTTGTGATTCCTCCAAGTTTCTCAGGGCAGAAGGGCGGGCCTGCTCCTCAACGCTGGCTCCTGCATGGTCATCCCGGGCCTTCTGTGTGGTCTCCCAGGTGCTGGAGCTCTACGGCAATGAGATCAGCAGCATGGAGTGTCTGTGCGCCCACCCACCCACCGGCCTGCAGCACTTGGGGTTAGGCCACAACAAACTTCAAGGCCCCTCGGAAAGTCTCCACATCACCGCTGACCACTGGTAACTTGGAAGCCCAGATGGAAAGAGAGAGGGAGGGATTAAGTCTTAGGCCGGGGCGATTCCTCCCCGGCGGCTTGAGAACTTAGCTTTGCTGTTTTCTGTAACTCCCAGTTGGCTGCTAACTCCAGACCTATGCTTTATTTCTCTGACCCAATAGCAAAATTCCACTGAGGCTCCGGGAAGGAGGAGAAGGTGGTGGCTGTGAGGCAGAGCCTTTGCTTCGGTGCCATATTTTATTTTTTATTTATTTATTTTTTAGATGGAGACTCACTCTGTTGCCCAGACTGGAGGGCTATGGTGCGATCTTGGCTATGCAACCTCCACCTCCCGGGTTCAAGCAGTTCTCCTGCCTCAGCCTCCCAAGTAGCTGGGACTACAGGTGCCCACCACCACGCCTGGCTAATGTTTGTATTTTTAGTAGAGAAAGGGTTTCACCATGTTGGCCAGGCTGGTCTCGAACTCCTGACCTCAAGTGACCCACCCACCTTGGCCTCCCAAAGTCCTGGGATTACAGGTGTGAGCCAACATGCCTGGCCTGGTGCCATGTTTTAGAGCAGGGTTTCTGACCTCGGGCCCTGTTGGCATCGGAGCCCCATCATTCCTTGCTGTGGTGCTGCCCTGGGCACAGCAGGGTATTGAGTGGCATCCTTGGTCTCCACCTGCCGAGCCAGGAGTACCTCCCTGCTAGTTGTGACAAGCAAAAATGTGTCCAGACAGAACCTAATGTACCCTGAGCAGCAAAATCCCCCCAGTCTGAGAACCACTGCCCTGGCACCAGGCCCTCCCAGCGCCAGGCACCCCATTGCTCTCGAAGTTTCAGGCTCATTAGGAAGCCTGCAGAAGGCCCCGGTCCCAGTGCATATTCACCTTGGTCTCCTTGGTGGGCGAACGGTAGAAACCTTAACATCCTGGATCTGAGGGGCAGGAGGGGGACCAGAGACCACCCAGAAAAGGCCATTAAAGGAAGCCGGGAAGGGAAGGCTTTGCAAAGCATGCTCCGAGACGTGTAGGACTTGAGCGGCTTGGCAGCATCTCCATGGTGCCTGTTCACTCCTGGCAAGGGTGGACTGGATAGACCCACCTCCCCTCTCTCCTTCCCCCAGGAACCTGGAGGGCACACCCTTGGGGGGGTCCAACCCTCCACACGCCTGCAGGGAAGGGAAGCTGCCTCTCTGACTCTAGCTTCCTCTTCCTCCCCTTCTCTTCTGCTCTTAGGGGAAGGGCAAGGCATCTTACTGGGATTGGGAGAGGCTGTGCTGACAGCGGCCCCTTGTGTTTTTCTTGTGTCTGTTCTCAGCTGAGATCAATTTGCTTTCCAGTTTGTGGCAGCAGGAAAGTCACCCTGCCCCTGCCGTGTGTCTTGGTCTGGCCACAGGCCCCTCCCAGCCCCCTTGCCTCCTGGGGTCCTGCCCCAGTCTGACTTTGAGATGCCACCTCCAGCTTCTAGACCGCCCATCCCTCCAGCCTCTGGCTCTCTCCTCCCAGACCCCAACGTCAACCCCGTGCCTGCCCTGTCCAAGGCTCCCCCACAGTGGCTGTCCCCGGCTGTGCCGCGCAGTCTGCCCATAGTATTTGTGCAGAACCTCCTTGACGCACGCAGTGCACGAGGCTCCACGGGAGCTACTGAGAGGTTTGGCCAAGAAGAGGGGAGCCCTGTGAAGGGAGGCCGGTGGGGGCCAGTTGTGAGGGGCATCCCTGTGGCTCTGACTGTGAGGGTAGCAGTGCTGTGGAGAGAGGAGACGAGAGTCAAGCACTCGTTCCCAATGTGGGTTAACTTGAGTCAAGTTAACAGGGCAGGGTGTGCAGCCCATGGATGGCAGAGTCCTCAGTCCCAGGCCCCCGTCTGTTTTGGCTGTAGGGCTGCTGGCCCCTGGTCACCTGGCTTCTTGACAATCAAATGGTCCTGCTCACCTTCCAGGCCCAACCTTGTCTCCCTGGACCTGGGCTTCAACGACCTGATGGACCTGCAGAGCATGCTTGCCAGGCTGAGGACCCTCCGGCACCTGCGGCTGCTGGTGCTACAGGGAAACCCGCTGGCCCTGGTGCCCTACTACCGCGGCCTCACCGTCGACAGCCTGGCCAAGCTCTGTGTGCTGGACGACATCACCGTGTCTCCCAACGAGAAGCATCTGTTCCGGGGGCTCAGCCTCAATGGCGGTGAGGGTGCCAGCATGCAGGGAGGGGGTGGCACATGACAGCCCAGCCTCTGCCTGGCTGTGCCCTGCCCTCCTGGGTCTGTGCACCCATCTTTCCTGCAGCTTCCCATCTGACCCAGACCCAAGTCAGGTGTAGCCTCTCTTCCGGGTCAGACCTTTCCCCAGGCTTTGATTCCTGTGATTAGGATTTGGGGACAGAAGTGGTAGTGGGAGGCCAGGCGCAGTGGCTCACACCTGTAGTCGTAGCACTTTGGGAGGCTGAAGCAGTCACTCTTTGGGATCCCTTGAAGTCAGGAGTTCAGCACCAGCCTGGCCAACAAGTATCTCGTCTCTACTAAAAATACAAAAATTAGCCGGGCATGGTGGTGGATACCTGTAATCCCAGTTACTCGGGAGGCTGAGGCAGGAGAATCTCTTGAACTCAGGAAGTGGAGGTTGCAATGAGCTGAGATAATGCCACTGCACTCCAGCCTCTTCTCAAAAAAAAAAAAAAAAAAAAAAAAAAGGTGGGGGCAGATCACTTGAGCTGAGAGGCGGAGGCTGCAGTGAGCTGTCATCTCACCACTGCACTCCAGCCTGGTCACAGAGCAAGCCCCTGCCTCTTAAAAAAAAAAAATAGCTGGGTACGGTGGCTCACACCTATAATCTCAGCACTTTGGGAGGCTGAGGCGGGCAGATCACCTGAGTTCAAGACCAGCCTCACCAACATGGAGAAACCCCGTCTCTACTAAAAATACAAAATTAGCCAGGCATGGTGGCATGTGCCTGTAATCTGAGCTACTCGGGAGGCTGAGGCAGGAGAATCACTTGAACCTGGCAGATGGAGGTTGTAGTGAGCCAAGATCGCGCCCCTGCACTCCAGCCTGGGCAACAAGAGTGAAACTCCATCTTAAAATATAATATAGCCGGGTGCGGTGGCTCAAGCCTGTAATCCCAGCACTTTGGGAGGCCGAGGCGGGTGGATCATGAGGTCAAGAGATTGAGACCGTCCTAGTCAACATGGTGAAACCCCCGTCTCTACTAAAAATACAAAAAATTAGCTGGGCATGGTGGCGCGTGCCTGTAATCCCAGCTACTCAGGAGGCTGAGGCAGGAGAATTGCCTGAACCCAGGAGGCGGAGGTCGCGGTGAGCCGAGATCGGCCATTGCACTCCAGCCTGGGTAACAAGAGTGAAACTCCGTCTCAAAAAAAAAAAAAATAATAATACAATAAAATAAAATAACGTATAGGGACTTGGGACAGTTATTTCAATTAGCTTCTTCATCTCCCTGCTGGCTTGAGATCGCCCCCTTGAGGCCCATGCCACAAGGTGCACCTGGAGGCTTCTCCAGGTCATAGTGACATCCTAGATAATGCTAAGGTGACCTGCAGAGCAGCCCTCATCACTGCCATACACAGATCAGGAAAACAAGGCCAAAGAGGGGTGTGATGACACCCAAATCATTCCAGGTCAGTTTGCCAGAGTGGCATGTGAACCTGACTGCCCCACTAAGGCTCAGCCCTGAGTGGTGGAGAGAATCCGGGACCCGTACCTTCCCGGCCCTCTTGTTTTCTGTCTGCCCACTTATATTCCACGGGCCCCTCTGTCCTGCCCATTCCTCTCTGCAGATCTCTTGGCACAGGAAGCGCAGTTGGTGGTGACCATTGGAAATGTCAGGGGAGTTCCGGACACCTCTCTCTTGGACCCGGAACCAGGGCCCGAAGGCCCTTTCATCACTTACACCTATTACGTGACCTACGATTTTGTGAAAGACGAAGAAGGTGAAGCGAATGAGTACACGGACCTGCTGGCCGAGGTGTGCCCCGGGCTGTCCCCGGGAGTATGGGGGGCCCTTGTGCAGGCTGAACTGCTTTGTGGACCCAGGAAAATCCTTTTAATTAATTAATTTATTTATTGAGGCACAGTCTTGCTCTGTCACTCGGGCTGGAGTGCAGTGGTGTGATCTTGGCTCACTGTAACTTCTGCCTCCCAGTTCAATCTATTATCCTGCCTCAGCCTCCCCAGTAGCTGGGATTACAGGTGCCCGTCACTACACCTGGCTAATTTTTATATTTTTAGTAGAGGTGAGGTTTCACCATGTTGACCAGGCTGGTTTTGAATTCATGAGCTCAAATGATCCTCGGCCTCCTGAAGTGCTGGGATTACAGATGTGAGCCACCATGCCTGGCCGAGGAAAATCCTTTTTTGTGTTTTTTAAGATGGAATCTCACTCTGTTACCCAGGCTGGAGTGCAGTGGTGTGATCTCAGCTCACTGCAACCTCCCAGATTCAAGTGATTCTCCTGCCTCAGCCTCCTGAGTAGCTGGGATTACAGGCGTGGGCTACCACACCCAGCCAATTTTTGTATTTTTAGTAGAGATGGGGGTTTCACCACATTGGCTAGGATGGTCTCGAACTGACCTCGTGATCTGCCCACCTCAGCCTCCCAGAGTGCTGGGATTACAGGCATGAGCCACTGCCTCCAGCCTGGAAAATTCTTAATGTGGAATCTGGTGATTCATGCAGGGACCTGGCTTCAGCTCAGCCTCTTTCTTGCAGCTAGAGCCATTTTCAGCCATGCACACACTCCCCTTGCCCTCTTAAAATAAAAAAAATAAAAATAAAAAATCTGAGCCTAAAAAGCCACCCAGTGTTTCATAACAGCCCCTTGCTCCCAGCCCCATTCTGCAATTTCTACAACTCCTTCTATCTCCCTCCACATCAGAAGTAAACCCAAGGACACCGTCTGACTAGGGGAAGCGTGATGATGTTGGTCTCCTGCTCCCACGTGGAAGTGGTGATTGCTTTCACACTTAATGTAGGTCTTTCAGAAGAGACACGACTGGGTTTCTCAGAGCCTTCCTAGCAGCGTTCGTCTGCTCACACGTGAACCTCATCTAGATGTCGGGAGCTGTGTTACAGACACGCCCAAGGCATCAGCTGAGCACGTCTTGGAGACAGCAGCCTTGGATGTGTCTTCCTGCAGATCGTCAAGCCCTCTCCCAGCTTAGAACTATTAGTTGAGGAATCTCCTGAAGAGGTCATTGAAAACGTCATGGAAGATGTTGTTGAAGAGGTCACTGAGGAGGTGGAAGGGTCTCTGGAGTCTGAGGTGGAAGAATGGGGAGAGTCGGAGTTGTCCGTCGTCTCAGTCCCTTCAACCGTCTTGCCGACACCGAGGGCCTCTGCAGAAGAGCTGGCCAAGTTGCGGCCACGTATAGATCCCCGGCTCTGCCCATCGCCAGGGTAAGGATGGAAACCTGAACCAGGGCAAGTAGTCAGAGCAGTAGGGTCGTAGCCTAGTGCTCCGCTTAAAAGTCCTGAGGTGGGCTAGGCACAGTGGCTCAACACCTGTAATCCCAGCACTTTGAAAGGCCAAGGCAGGCAGATCATGAGGTCAAGAGATTGAGACCATCATGGCCAACATGGTGAAACCCCGTCTCTACTAAAAATACAAAAATTAGTTGGGTGTGGTGTTGCGTGCCTGTAGTCCCAGCCACTCGGGAGGCTGAGGCAGGAGAATTGCTTGAACCCAGGAGGCGGAGGTTGCAGTGAGCTGAGATTATGCCACTATACTCCAGCCTGGGTAACAGAGCAAGACTCCATCTGGAAAAAAAAAAAAAAACAACAGTCTTGAGGCTGAGTCACTCCTGGATCTTCCACCCCCAGGAATGGTTAAGGCCCCACTAGGCTGTTAGCTGTGCAGGAGCATTGGGATTCAGCCCTCTTTCCTGGAGGCTTGAATGCTAAATCCTACTCTAACTGCCTACTCAAAGTACAACTGAGTCCCACTTCCCTGACCAGCCAAGATTTTTGGAGTGATTAAATTTCTTTTTTGGGGGAGACAGAGTCTTACTCTGTCACCCAGGCTAGAGGTCAGTGGCATGACTTCGGCTTACTACCAGCTCCACCTCCCAGGTTCAAGCAATTCTCATGCCTCAGCCTATAGCTGGGACTACAGGCATGCCTGGCTAATTTTTGTATTTTTAGTAGAGACAGGGTTTTGCCATGCTGGCCAGGCTGGTTTCAAACCCCTGGTCCCAAGTGATCTGCCCGCCTCGGCCTCCTAAAAGTGCTGGGATTACAGGCATGAGCCACTGCACCTGGCCTGAATTTCTTGAGTTGATTGAGAGATGATAAATTAACAGCCCTTTTCATTTCAGCCCTTGGGTGGGAAAACCTTTTTTGGTCTAACGTTTTAATCCATCTGAGATGTAGTCTGGCATATCAAGTGCTGTAGGGATCCTCCAGCTTGTACACTGTGTTCTTTCTTGTCTGAGTCCAATCTAGCTCCATTCCTTCTTTTTTGTGCTACTTCTGTTATGAATATTATAGTAATTTTCATAAATATTATTATAAACATGTTACAGACCAGACTCAATAATACATTGTTATAATTATTGCCTTATATAATCCATGTTTTACAGAGAAGAAAGGAGAACACAAATATATTTATAAAGATTTTTTTTTCTTTTTGAGACAGAGTCTTGCTGTCACCCAGGCTGGAGTGCAATGGCACAATCTCCACTCACTGCAACCTCTGCCTCCTGGGTTCAAGTGATTCTCCTGCCTCAGCCTCCCCAGTAGCTGGATTACAGGCGCCTGCCACCATGCCAGGCTAATTTTTGTATTTTTAGTAGAGACAGAGTTTTACCATGTTGGCCAGGCTGGTCTCGAACTCCTGACCTTGTGATCCATCTGCTTTGGCCTCACAAAGTGTTAGGATTACAGGTGGGAGCCACCACCCCTGACCAAAGTGTTTTTTTTTTTTTTTTTTTTTTAAGTTTGTTAACCATCTTAGTTACCATTTCTGGTTCCTTTCATATCTTCCTTTAGAATTGATTTACTGTTGTGGCTTACGCCTGTAATCCCAGCACTTTGGGAAGCCGAGACGCGTGGATCACTTGAGGTCAGGAGTTCGAGTCCAGCCTGCCCAACATGGTGGAACCCTGTCTCTATTAAATATACTAAATACAAAAAATTAGCCAGGAGTGGTGATGCACACCTGTAATCCCAGCTACTTGAGAGGCCGAGGCAGGAGAATTGCTTGAACCCAGGAGGCAGAAGTTGCAGTGAGCCAAGATTACACCACTGCATTCCAGCCTGGGCAATAAAAGTGAAACTCTTGTCTCAAAAAAAAAAAAAAAAAAAAAAAAAAGAATTGATTCACTATCTGGTTTCATTCCCTCCCTCATTGATTTACTATCTGTTTCCCCTTCCTCCCCTCCATTCCCCCCTTTCCCCTCACCTCCCTTTCCCTTCTTTTTTCCGCCCCTTTGTTCCTTTATCTGTTTCTTGTGGTGGGGTCTCACTATGTTGACCGGCTGGTCTTGAACTCCTGACCTCAAGCAATCCTATAGCCGTGGCCTCCCAAAGTGCTGCAATTACAGGTGTGGGCCACTATGCCTGGGCATGGTGTCATTTTCTTACTCCAGCATGCTTTGTTCTCACCCCCATTTCCTTCATGTTGTTATGGTCACATATATTACATTTCTACCTGCCATAGCCCAAACTGCAATTTTATAGATGTTGTCTTATGCTATTGTATTTTATTCTAATTAGAATCAAGGACAAGAAATATATAACTATACTGTCTTTTGTATTTGCCTACATGATTACTTTTATTGGTGCTCTTTCTTTTTTCATGTGAATTTGAATTACCCTCTGGTGTTACTTCCTTTCAGCCTGAACTTTTCTTCAGGAAGTTAATGTATTCATGTATTCAACTTTTCATGTTTTGTGTAAAGCAAATCTATTGTCGACAAAGTCAGTTTTTTGTTTCTCTTGATGATGTCCTTATTTCAAAAGCAATTTTGAAAGACAGATTTGCTGGGTATAGAATTGTTGGTTGACAGTTTTGGTGGGTTTTTTTTTCCCCCCCACTACCTCAGAACATTTGTTTTGTGTTGTTTCATTGAGAGGGAGTCTTGCTCTGTCACCCAGACTGGAGTGCAGTGGTGGGATCTTGGCTCACTGTAACCTCTGCTTTCTGGGTTCAAGCGATTCTCCTGCTTCAGCCTCCAGAATAGCTAGGCTGACTTCATTAATTTACTGGGCTTACCTGCTGTGATATTTCAGTCTGCCACTTGGTCTCTACTTATCTTTGAGGGAAAATGTTCTCCATCCTCAGTGATGGAATAAGTGAGGAGGTTTGTATTAACGTTTAACTTGGACATACTTTAAATTTGTTGGAGTGTATTATTAATTCTCCTTCAGGCTGTGATCCAATCAGTAGAACAATTTATGTTAAATCCTTTCCAGAGTGGGATGCTACTTCAGGGTTGGCATGGTGTTCTGAGACTAAGGCAATGCCAGTCAGGGGTCTGTGTTCTAGCCTGGGGCTAGGCTAGATTTGTTTCTGCTTTTTTTTTCTCTCTCCTGAAGCAGGGTCTCACTTTGTCACTGAGGCTTGAGTACAGTGGCATGAACACGGCTCACTGCAGCCTTGACTTCCCAGGTTCAAGCAATGCTCCCACCTCAGCCCCCAGAGTACCTGAGACTACAGGCATGTGCCACCTCACCCAGCTAATGTTTGTATTTTGGGTAGAAACGAGGGCTCGACATGTTGCCCAGGCTGTTCTTGAACTCCTGGGTTCAAGTGATCCTCCCATCTCGGCCTCCGAAAGTGCTAGGATTAGAAGCGAGAGCCACCATGCTCAGCCCTTTGCTGAACTTTTAACAAATAACTCTTGGTGCTTTTCGAATGGTTTGTATCAGTTGTTCAGGGTGGTCTTGCCCCTGAAGCAGGGCCCCATGTGCATTTTTTTCTTTTGCTGTCTCCTCCTGTGTCCACATTCTTTTTTGGCCTTCTGGTCCCCTCACCCTGCCTGGTGGCAGCCAGGTCCCCTTCCTCACTCTGTGGGCTTTGATGCTCATGGTCTCCTTGGATGTCCCCTCACAGTCCTGTCCCGGGTTCCTGGCCACAGCCCCAGGGTGACAGCACGTCTTCATCTCTCCTTCCCCGAGGACCGTCCTCTTCAACACCACCCACAAGCCCTGGGCTGAGGTCATACAGTGCAACTATGAGGTGCAGCACGTGCTCAGGGACCTGGTGCCACTGAAGGCCTTCCTGCTGGCAGGGACCACCGTGACTGTTGTGGAGGAGAAGGTGGGCAGGTGGAGGCAGTGCCTGGCTGCCCACAGGCTGCACCTCTGCCCCTGTTCCCATTGGGCCATCCCCTATAGGAGCCTCACTCCCGGTTAGCTGAGGTCTCAGCACTGCTCCGGAAAGGGTGAGGGAGAGGTGACCCCAGGCAACCCCCCTGGGCCTCTGCTCACTGAGGCCACATCCCTGCCCCTAGATTCTCTCCTGGCCAGTGGTGCTGCCTGCTGTGGACAGTCCCCTGTCTGCCAAGAAAGGAAAAGGAGAGAAAGACAAGAAAGAGAAGGAGAAAGACAGGAAGGGGAAAGGAGAGAAAGAGCCGGCCAAGGTACCGGGCCCCGGTGCCAGGGAGGGCAGTCCGGCCACAGCCTCATCTTGCTACGTCCCACCTCATCCCACCCTCCTGGCCTCCCCCAGCAGGCACCAAAGAAGAAGAAAGAGCCACTCAAGGAGCTCCGGCAGGACCCCCCCATCCTGCAGGTGCTGGGCCGAGGCCTGGTGGTTCTGGAGCCCCTACTGGTGGGGGAGCCCCTGGTGTCCTCCGTGTGCAACTTCGGCGTGATCCGCACCTTGGCATCCGACAGGCTGGCATTTGCCAGGGTACCACATCCTCCACCTCTGCCTTTGCCCTCCCCACGGGAACCCTGAGGGCAAGCAAGGGCTGTGGGCCCAGGTCTCTGGATGGGGAGGAGGTGGTGGGGAGGGCTTTTCCCTGGGTCACATAGCCGGGTGCTGGTGCTGCCGCCTGCACACAGGGCCCCTCTGTGGGTTTTAGCCCAGTCAGCCTTCCCCTTGGGGTGGGCACGCTCTCTGAGAGACCCCCACCTTCCTGGACCTGTTAGAGGGAATGGAGGAGGTGGGGCCGCAGAGAAACCCCTTCTCCAGAACCTCCTCTCTCGTTTTGTGGTTCTTTCTCTCAGGATTCAAAGAAGATTAAGAAAACTGCCAAAAAAGGTGAGTGCCGGTGGTGGTGACCAACGGCAGGGAGTGGCAGGAGGACCAGCTGAGGGCCAGCTCTGGTAGAGGCCAAAGGAACAGAAGGGCGGGGAATGGGTGCTTCTGGCCTGGGGAGAGGCCTTAGGATCCAGTGTTAATATTCCTTCCCTGCAGCCCTTAGACCACCAGGCCTGTGGGTTGTGACGCAGGTGGGGAAGGCGCCTGTGGTAGAGCCACAGCGGGGTGAGGGCTCATAGCTGGGGTGGCTTGGGATCCCTCTGCTTCCGAGGTGTCTGCCTCCAGCTCTAGGCTATTGGGTCTCATTGGCTGTAAGAGGAGCCTGGACTTGTCCTGTGGGGAATTGCAGAAGCATCTGAAATGGGTGCATCTTGGGTTTGAGGTTCAGAAAGAATGTCTGGCTGGAAGGGAGAGAAAGGAGACAGGGAGAGCTGTGGGAGGTGGCTGCAAAACCTGAGGCCAATTCATAGCCGAGCAGCCATCATGCTGAAGCTGAAAAGTGAAATAGGCACAGGTCGGTGGCTCACGCCTGTATTCTCAGCACTTTGGGAGGCCAAGGTGGGCAGATCACCTGAGGTCAGGAGTTCGAGACCAGCCTGGCCAACATGGTGAAACCCTTTCTCTACTAAAAATACAAAAATTAGCCAGGTGTGGTGGCAGGTGCCTGTAATTCCAGCTACTCGGGAGACTGAGGCAAAATAATCGCTTGCACCCGGAAGGCAGAGTTTGCAGTGAGCCAAGATCGAGCCATTGCACTCCAGCCTGAGCAACAGAGTGAGACTCTGTTTCAAAAAAACAAATAATAAAATAAAATCACTGAAGAAGTAAATGTTGGAGGGCATACGCTACTGGACTTCAAAACCCATGCCTATACGAACATGTGATTTGTGGTACTTACCTGTGGGTTAAGATGGATTTAAAAAGGTATTTTTTTTTGTTGTTGTTGTTTTTCTTTTTTTTTTTTTTTTTGAGAGAAGGAAAGAAGAAAAAAAATGAGTAAAGGAGAGGAAGAAAGAGGAAGAGAAAGAGGGAGAGCGAATGGAAATATTGCTTTATTCTGAAAAAAAAAAAAAAATGGGTATTAATAATGGCCAATCAATGTTTCATTTAAACCTATGTGTTGTGAACTGAACGCGAGCCAGGAATCTCGTCCAGCGAGAGGGTCCCAAACCTGGAAGAGAGCGAGCGCCGGAAAAAAGGAGATAGAAAAGGCGAGGTCTGGAGGGCTACATGCACTATGCTCATGCAGCAATTTTATTTTTGCAATGTGTTTCATTATATACTTTTCTGAAGTTAAAGGTGTTTACACCAGATTAACGTACTTAAGTTACAGTAAGCAAGTTACACCCAGTAAGTAAGTTAAGCGCAGTAAGTAGGCTACGCCCAGTAAGTAGGTTACGCCCAATAGGTCAAGGTAAGTAGATTACAGTCACGCCCTGTAAGCCATGGTAAGTAAGTTACAGTCACGCCCTGTAAGCCATGGTAAGTAAGTTACAGTCACGCCCTGTAAGCCATGGTAAGTAAGTTACAGTCACGCCCTGTAAGCCATGGTAAGTAAGTTACAGTCACGCCCTGTAAGCCATGGTAAGTAAGTTACAGTCACGCCCTGTAAGCTATGGTAAGTAAGTTACAGTCACGCCCTGTAAGCCATGGTAAGTAAGTTACAGTCACGCCCTGTAAGCTATGGTAAGTAAGTTACAGTCACGCCCTGTAAGCCATGGTAAGTAAGTTACAGTCACGCCCTGTAAGCTATGGTAAGTAAGTTACAGTCACGCCCTGTAAGCTATGGTAAGTAAGTTACAGTTACGCCCTGTAAGTTACCGTAAGTAAGTAACACAGGTCCAACATGAACACAAGCAATAAACCATAAGAAGCCGAAAGTAGACACAATGCCTCCCAAGTCCTCATATCCATAAAGTAATGTCTGTTGATTATTTTGAATAACATATAGTTCCTCTCTCGGTTCCTGCTTTCCCTCAGCTCAACTCCCCCAACCAGGGATCTGTGTCCCGGCTCAAGCTCACCGTATGGCAAGGCCCATTTCCTAGGGGCCTCACATGGGAGCGATCCCCACAGGTCTCCCTTACCTATGAGTAGGTGTGATGTGGTATTGACGAGAATGTATATTTTGTGTATTTGAAGTGGAGAGTTCTATATTTATTACGTTTACTTATTCCAGATCTGAGTTCGAGTCCTTGATATCTTTATTAATTTTCTGTCTCATTGAGTCTAAGTCTCTATGTATCTGGGTGTTAGGATCGTTAGCTCTTGTTGCATTGATCCTTTTACCACTATATCTTTGTTGCTTTAAAATCTATTTTATCCGATACGAGAATTGCAACTTCTGCTTTTTATTTATTTATTTTTGCTCTCCATTTGGTTGGTAAATCTTTCTCCATCCCTTTGTTTTGAGTCTTTGTGTATCCTTGCATGTGAAACAGGTCTGGATGTAACATGCCGTTGGGTTCTGGCTGTGTCTTTTGATTGTGGGATTTAGTCGATTTAAATTTAGGGTTACTGCCATTTGATGTTAACTGGCTGTTTTATCCATTCGTTGGTGTAAATTCTTCTTTATGTTGGTGCTCTTTACTTTTTGGTATATTTTTAGAAAGGCTAATACTGGTTGTTTCTTTGTGTGTAATGCTTCTTTCAGAAGCTCTTGTAAAGCAGGCCTGGTGGTAATAAAATCTCTGAGTTCTTGCTTGTTCATAAAAGATTTTATTTTTCCTTCAATTGTGAAGCTTAGTTTGGCTGGATATGAAATTCTGGGCTGAAGGTTCTGTTCTTTGAGGATGTTGAATATTGGCCCCCACTCTCTTCTGGCTTGTAGAGTTTCTGCCGAGAGATCTGCTGTGAGTCTGATAGGCTTGCCTTTGTGGGTAACCTGACCTTTCTCTCTGGCTGCCCTTAGTATTTTCTCCTTCATTTCAACCCTGGTGAATCTAACGATTATGTGCTTTGGGGTTGCTCTTTTTAAGGAATATCTTTGTGGTGTTCTCTGTATTACCTGGGGTTGAATGTTGACCTGCTTTGCTAGTTTAGGAAAATTTTCCTGAATAATATCCTGAAGGGTATTTTCCAGCTTGGATTCATTCTCTCCATCACATTCAGGTACACCTATCAAACGTAAATTTGGTCTTTTCACGTAGTCCTACATTTCTTGGAGACTTTGCTCATTCCTTTTTATCCTTTTTTCTCTAATCTTTTCTTCGTGTTTTATTTCATTAAGTTGGACTTTGACCTCTGATATCCCTTCTTCTGCTTGAACAATTCGAGTGTTTAAACCTGTGCATACTTCTCGGAGTTCCTGTATTGTATTCTTCAGTTCCATTAATTCACTCATCCTCCTCTCTAAGTTGTCTATTCTCAATAGGATTTCAACAAACCTTTTTTCAAAGTTCCTAGTTTCTTTACGTTGGGCTACAACATGTTCTTTTAACTCACGCAAGTTTGTTATTATCCATTCCCTGAAGTGTGATTCTGTCATTGGGATGTGCTTGTTCTCCATCAAGCCTTGTTCCATTGTTGATGTGGAACTGTGATCATCTTTAGAGGGAGAGGCGTTCTGACTTTGAGTATTCTCAGCTTTTTTTACGCTGGTTTCTTCCCGTCATTGTAAATTTATCCTCCTGTTGTCTTTGAATTTACCCACTTTCAGATTAGGTCTCTTGAGTGGGCGTCCAGGTTGTTAGTTCCCAGGGCCAGAGCAGCAGCGTTAAAACTGATGGTGCTTTTCTGCCCAGGATTCTCCTGTCTGGCTTCCTTCTTGTGTCCGTGGTAGGTGACTCTGCCTTCCTGGGGCTCCAAACCTCGGTCAGAAGGGGAACCGGTCCCGTTTACTCTGCACTGAGCACTGCTGCGCCAAGGTGCCGTCACAGCTGTTGCGCCGGGCTCTGGTGTCGTGCTGGGGAATTTGTCTGAAAGTGTGGCGTCCTCTAGTTCTCCGTGCCTTCACTGAGAGCTGCAATCCCGAGATGTTAGCGATTGGCTATCTTGGATCTTCCTGTTTTTTTTTTTTTTTGGGTAAATCTCTTTAATGTCTAGCTGAATTGAAGACACCTGGATTCTTTTTTTTTTTTTTTTTTTTTTTTTTGGAGACGGAGTTTTGCTCTTGTTACCGAGGCTGGAGTGCAATGGCGGGATCTCGGCTCACCGCAACCTCCGCCTCCTGGGTTCAAGCAATTCTCCTGCCTCAGCCTCCTGAGTAGCTGGGATTACAGGCATGTGCCACCATGCCCAGCTAATTTTTTGTATTTTTAGTAGAGATGGGGTTTCACCATGTTGACCCGGATGGTCTCGATCTCTTGACCTCATGATCCACCCGCCTTGGCCTCCCAAAGTGCTGGGATGACAGGCTTGAGCCACCGCACCTGGCCACCATGCACAATTTGTAACATGCATGAGTTACTTATAAAATACAGGTTAACCAACTTAGGCCGATGTTCCAACTGTTGACCCCATCACTATCCATTTTCCAAAAATCACGTTCTTTACTATCACCACCCACTCATTGGAAAGGTCTTTGAGTATTGGAAAATTGATAAAATTCATGGTGGCAGATACAATGTTATCTCATTTTTATGGCAAATGTTATCAATCGATTGAAATACTTTCAGTTGTTTTGCCTGAAGTGCCAGAATTACAGAATTACCTTTTTTTCTTTTTTAACTGTTGCGCAGGCTGGACTGCAGCAGGTAATCTTGGCTCACTGCAACCTCCGCCTCCTGGGTTCAAGCGATTCTCCTGCCTCCGCCTCGTTGTAGCTGGGACTACAGGCACACACCACCACACCTGGCTAATTTTTGTATTTTTAGTAGAGACGGGGTTTCAACATGGCCAGAATAATCCCGATTTCCTGACCTCGTGATCCACCTGCCTCTGCCTCCACTGCGCCTGGCCAAATTACTTCATTCTTGAGAAAATATCTGCAGCTAGGCGCGGTGGCTCATGCCTCTAATACCAGCACTTTGGGAGGCCGAGGCGGGCGGATCACTTGAGGTCAGGAATTCGAGACGAGCCTGGCCAACATGGTGAAACCCCTGTCGCTACTAAAAATTAGCCGGTCGTATTGACGGGCGCCTGTAATCCCAGCTACTCAGGAAGCTGAGTCAGGAGAATCGATCCCAGCTACTCGGGAGGCTGAGGAAGGAGAATCACTTAAACACGGGAGGTGGAGGTTGCAGGGAGCCGAGATCACGCCACTGCATTCCAGCCTGGGCGACAGAGCAAGACACTCTCAAAATAAAAAGCAGCTAGTTCGTCTTGCAGCTCACAGCTGTGACTTTATCTAATTAAATGCAATTTGATTTGATTTCTCATTACAGTTAAGACCCGAAGACCGAAAACTCCTGCCAGGACAGAGTCGAGGGCTTGCATTTGGGATGGGTCAGGGCGGCCGAGAACGCCAGCCCGTTTGTCTCCCGGGACTCATGCTCGCGTTTTTATTTTCTCAGAAAAGCCAAAAGCCGTGATTCCCATCTACGAAGGCGATTACCATCCCGAGCCCCTGACGGTGGAGGTGCAGATCCAGCTGAACCAGTGCCGCTCGGCGGAGGAGGCGCTGCACACGTTCGCCGTGTAGGGCGCGGGCAGTAAAGGCTGTTCCCAGCACTCCCGCCTCCGCGTCGGTCTTGCCGCGGGCGTCGGAGGGCGGGTGTGGCGCCGGCGATCTAGGGAGGAGGAGCCTCTGCCCCACTAGGCTCGTGCGGATCCTAGGACTGGGTAGGGGACGGGACACGTGCGTCCAGCCGTGGGCGTGGCAGAGACTGGCTGCCCGGAGCCCGCCCTCACCAAAAGCCCCGCCCCAAACCCCCGCCTCCCCAAAAGCCCCGCCCCAAACCCCCGCCTCCCCACAAGCCCCGCCCCAAAGAGTCCCCACTCGAGCTCCGCGCACCTGGGCACTATCTGCCCTGGCTCCGCTGCGCTAGCTCCTCGCCTCTGCCCCGGCGTCACGCTCAGGTAGGTCGGGAACCGGGACCCCGGTGCTGTGAGGGAGGCTGGGTCACCATGTGGGGAGGGGCGTCGCTAGGACGGCGGTACCTTTGCAGCCGGCTCTCCGGTCCCCTCCCGGGTCCCGGCGAGGACGCCGGCCCCGCCCGGGTGCGGCGCGGGTCTGGCGTTGGCAGGCGGGGCTCGAGGCCCACGGGCCGCTCGGCTTCGGTTCTCCGGGCTGGGGATAGAGGCCGGAGCCGGGCGTCGTGGACCCCGCCAGCCTGGGCTGCTCGCCCCCAACGCGCCGCGCTGCCGCCAGCCCCTGCCCGAGGTCCCCCGCGGGGTGGGTCCCTGCCTCCGCCAGCCCTCCAGAGACCGTCGCGTTGAAAGAATGAACCAGAGCTCGGCCCCTGCCCGCACCGGGGCACTTGGGTCACCGAGTCCTGTGGGGACCGGAGGCGGCTATCGACCCAGGCCGAGCCTCAGGACCCGCAACCCCCAGGAGGGGTCGTGCGCCCCGCGGCGGGTGGAGAGCAGGTCTCTGGAGTCACCGTGAGGGGGATCCTGCTCCGAGGGCGGCGGGGCGAGGCCGTGCGGCCAGCGCGTGGGGACGTCCGCGGAGGGACGGTGCCACCCAGGCCGCGGCGCAGCCTGGGCTGGAACCTCCTGGGAAGGAATCAAGCCACCTACTGTGCGCCCTTCTCGGTGAATGGCACCGCCGCCCACCTGGGACCCTCGCCCACAGCCCGCGGTGCTCGCACACCTGAGACCCATCTTGCTCCCACCCCGCCACCCCCTGCATTCTGAGCACGGAGACAGCCTCCAGCTGCCCTTCCTTCTTCCTCCCCAGCTTTCCGCAGCCCACCAGGGAATAAGCGGTAGGAGTGACCTTTTACCAAACGTAGATCCTTTCATGGCCTCTGCCAGACCTTCCTGTCCCCCCGCCCCTCCCCCGCATAGATCTCCAGGGCGCTCAGAAAATCCCGGTAGGTGGCTGACGCCTGTAGTCCCAACACTTTGGGAGGCCAAGGTGGGAGGATCTCTTGAGGCCAGGAGTTCCAGACCAGCGCAGGCAACAAAGGGAGACCACATCTCTGCAAAACACAGCCGGACCCTGCGCGCCTGCAGTCCCAGCTACTGGGGAGGCTGAGGCCAGAGGATCGCTTGAAACCAGGAGTTCCAGGCTGCAGTGAGCTATGGTTGTGCCACTGCGCTAGAGTTTGGGTGACAGATCCTGTCTCAAAACAACAAAAACCCTAGCTCTTTCACTAGCCTGGCCGGCGTCTCCTACTGTAAATTCGCTTACCCCCCAACCCCGCCTTCTCTCTCCCCTCACTCCTGCTCTGGGGCCGCCTGACTGCCCTGGGCCTGCAGAGCCCCCAGGTCTTCATGCAGGGTGCCCTTCCTCACTCAGTTCTTGCTCAAATGTCCCTCCATCAAGGAGGGCTTTGTTAGCTACCCTTGGCTATGGGATCCGTCCTCCAGCCATTTCACTTCGTTAGGCGCTGTAACTTCTAGGCGTACCTGGTTTCTGTGTTTTGTGCTTTCCTGTCGGGGCAGTGGCCCTATCTTGCTTGCCACTGAATCCCTAGCACCTAGCAGTTGCTTTTCTTGTAGTAGCAGCTACGGCAGCGGCCAGTGCGGCAGTCTGGTCAGAGGTGAAGGGCCAAAGACTTGGCGGTGTAGGGGACTGGGGCAGAGAGAGACACTGGAGGGACAAAAATGAGAAACTGAAGCCTGTCTTTGCTACTGTGGACCTCGCGGCAGGCCATTCTGGTGGATTCCATCTCCTCCTCTTTGGGTGCCTGGGAGAAATCAGCACTTAGAATGGGGTGGGAAGGCGGGGCAGGGTGTCTCAGAAGCCAACCCTGATTCAAGTCCTCAGCTTTCCTGCTTCCCTCTTGCTGTGTGTTTTGTCTCACTGGCTCCCCCTGGAAGTCCTGATCTCTGAGGTGGGTGTGAAGAGGTGTGTGCTTTGGTGGCCACAGCCACCATGTGGTGCTGGTTCCTCTCCCAGGGAGGCAGTGCACTCCTGGTCATCTTGGAGAGGCCCAACACAGAACCCCACAGGCCCTAGGCTTTTTTGGGAGAGTGTGACTTCACACTTGAAGAGCCCTGAATGTCAGTTTATGCTTAGTGAATTTGATCCAAAGCTATACTGAGTCTGTGCCATTTTCTTTTTCTTTTTTTTTTTTTTGAGACAGAATTTCGCTCTTGTTGCCCAGGCTGGAGTGCAATGGCGCATTCTTGGCTCACTGCAACCTCCGCCTCCTGGGTTCAAGTGATTCTCTTACCTCAGCCTCCCAAGTAGCTGGGATTACAGGCATGTGCCACCATGTACGGCTAGTTTTTTTGTATTTTTAGTAGAGATGAGGTTTCACCATGTTGGCCAGGATGGTCTCCATCTCTTGACCTCGTGATCCACCTGCCTCAGCCTCCCAAAGTGCTGGGATTACAGGCATGAGCCACTGCGCCCGGCCCATTTTCAATAAAACTCATCAGGTGCTCGAGTTTCCTGGCAGAAAGGCGTGGAACGTTTATGGTGTCAGCTGTAAAGTGGCTGCAAGTCATTTTGGGAAAAACAGACCCAGGAGTACTCAGATGATGGCAGAGGGCAAGGGCTGGCTATGCTTGGCCCATCCTCAGGGGAGGGAGGACTCTGGAAAGAGCCTGAGGACACGTTGAGAATAAAAGGAAGCCTAGAGGCCAGCAGGGACTTAGCTGCTGGGGTGCAGGTAACTCCTGGGGACAGGGACAGGGACCTGGGGCTGGGACCTGCTCAGGCAGCTCTCTCCTTGCAGGGATTGGCAATGCTCCGCAAGCTGGGCTGGCTGGTCTCCTACAGCCTGGTTGTGCTGTTGCTGGGCTGCCTGCTCTTCCTGAGGAAGGAGGCCAAGCCCATGGGAGACCCCACAGCCCGCCAGCCTTTCTGGGCTCCTTCAGTGCCCTGCCACAGCCGATGTCCACCCAACCACACAGTGGCTAGTGCCTCTCTGTCCTTGCCTAGCCGTCACCGCCTCTTCTTGACCTATCGCCACTGCCGAAATTTCTCTATCTTGCTGGAGCCTTCAGGCTGTTCCAAGGATACCTTCTTGCTCCTGGCCATCAAGTCACAGCCTGGTCATGTGGAGCGTCGGGCAGCTATCCGCAGCACATGGGGCAGGGCTAGGGGCCAGCAGCTGAAGCTGGTATTCCTCCTAGGGGTGGCAGGACCCACTCCCCCAGCACAGCTGCTGGCCTATGAGAGTAGAGAGTTTGACGACATCCTCCAGTGGGACTTCACTGAGGACTTCTTCAACCTGACACTCAAGGAGCTGCACCTACAGCGCTGGGTAGCGGCTGCCTGCCCCCAGGCCCGCTTCACGCTAAAGGGAGATGATGATGTCTTTGTCCACGTCCCCAATGTGCTAGAGTTCCTGCATGGCTGGGACCCGGCCCAGGACCTCCTGGTGGGAGATATCATCCGCCAAGCGCTGCCCAACAGGAACACTAAGGTCAAATACTTCATCCCACCCTCAATGTACAGAGCCAGCCACTACCCACCCTATGCTGGTGGGGGAGGATATGTCATGTCCAGAGCCACTGTGCAGCGCCTCCAGGCCGCTGTGGAAGAGGCTGAACTCTTCCCTATCGACGATGTCTTTGTAGGTATGTGCCTGAAGAGGCTAGGGCTGAGCCCCACGCATCATGCTGGCTTCAAGACGTTTGGAATCCGGCGGCCCCTGGATCCCTTAGACCCCTGCTTGTATAGGGGGCTCCTGCTGGTGCACCGCCTGAGCCCCCTCGAGATGTGGACCATGTGGGCACTGGTGACAGATGAGGGGCTCAAGTGTGCAGCTGCCCCCATACCCCAGCACTGAGGGGTGGGTTGGGCAACAGCTCCAGAGTGCACTGTTGATTTTCTATCATGATGAGAAATTAATCCCTGCTGGTCTACAGGAAATGCCGACTTGAGTTTTTGTAACCCCCCCACCTTGTTAGCTCTAATTAAAAACACTGCAACCTGGCTAACTTGTGTTGAATGGGAGCCAAAGTGGTGCCAGGAACCTGATGGGGGATTCCTGAAGCCTGAAGGAAGGAGGCTGCATAGGACCCAGGAGACACACTTTCTCATTTAGATGCAGAAAAAAATGTTACTCTTCTCCTTTAGATACATTGCAGAAATGCAAAGAAAAGAAAGGAACAAGAGGCATGTGTTAGGAAGAGTCCTGTTGAGAGCACCAGGTAAACACTCTGCATCCCTTCCCTTAGCAGTAATAGACATTTCACTGCTTGGCCTGAGCTGTCCTCACAGGGCAGTGGGGGCAGATCAGAAAACACATTAGAAACACTTCAATCGTACAAACTGGACAGGCTCCCAGTCTCCTGCCACAGCTCACATCCCAACAGAGGAACAAACACGAAATCATTTTCACAATAAAAACAGATTAAAGAGCTACGGAACTTAAGGGCATGACAAAAAGGACTCCTCTCTCTAACCCAGGTTGGCAAAATGCTTTGGGTGTGAGGTAAAAAGATGGGTAGGTAAGAGAGCAGCTGAAGAGTGGGATGAAATGTTATAACGGTGCGGTGCCCAAGCGCTAAGAACCAGGTCCAGTGCAAGCCTGAGACCACAGGAGGAGCACTAACAGCTCACAAAGGCCTTTTGCCTGATTGGCCAGAGCCAGACCTGCTGCCTCTTCTCAGTGCAGAGACAGTCATGCCAACTCTGGGCAGGGTGGCGTCTGCCCCTGCTTTCTCCACTGAGTGGGCAGACAGGGCAGCAGGCTCAGGCCTCAGTCCTCACGCAGGTAGGCCTCCTGCTCTGTCTCCGCCTGCTCGTCCCCTTCCTCCTGTATTTTCTGACGGAGCTCTTTTATCTGTGCTTCTGCCAACTTGGTTTCTGCTTTCTGGGAGAGCTGGCGCACCTCCTGCACCTGCAGTTTCACCAACTGAATGTGATTTCTGGCAGTTATAGAGGCCTGATCTGCGCCTGCAAAAGATGGGACAATCGGGTTGAGTAGCTGAGCAGGGCAGAAGGTACATGTGGATGTTGGCCTGGGGGTGCTGTGGCTGTCATTCGAAGCCTTCCTGGGATCACTTTCCTTGACCTACCATTCTTCTCTCTGCAGAGAACCTTCTACCTCTATGTTCAGGTCTGCATTTAACCAACAGTCAAAAACAGCATTTTTCTTCAGCTACCAGTGGCTAATCACAATTATTAAATGCAACTCTCACAATCTTTATAGCTAATTTTTTTTTGTTGTTATGCTCAGTGTATTACAGAACTTAATAGCTAATTTTTAAACTACACGTCATCCATTTCTTTTTGACAGATCACAAATAAAATTATTAAAGATCCGTTTTATCATCCTACCTAATCTTTGGAGGTAACCTCTTGGGATTTGGGGGTATTCTCATCTTTCAAAATGTGACCACACACATACGGAATGCATAGAAAAATATTTTGTTACTATAAGTTTACATAACAGCATAAAAGGGATTAAACATGTTTTATAATTTTTTCTTTTCACTGGTAAATGTGTTTTGAGCTCTATCATTTTACTTGCTGTTACTATATTTCATCACCTGCTTATGTATATTTTATCGATTCACCTATAGAACATTTGGATCTTTTCTCACTGCACTAACAAGAACCTTCAATACAATGTTGACAGGTAGTGGAGAATGGCAGCCATCCTCCTCTTCTGATTTTGATGAAAACACTTGATAGTTCACAATTACGTGGGATTACTTAACCTTTATTTCATTAAGAAAATTCTATTCATAATTGTATTTAGATTCAAATCATAAATGGTACTACATTTTATTGAAGGTTTTTTTTTTTTTTAAGACAGAGTCTCACTCTGTCACCAGGCCAGAGTGCAGTGGCACGATCTTGGCTCACTGCAACCTCTGCCTCCATGGTTTAAGTGAGTCCCCTGCCTCAGCCTCCCAAGTAGCTGGGACTACACACTTGTGCCACCATGCCTGGATAATTTTTTGTATTTTAGTAGAGATGGGGTTTCACCATGTTGGCCAGGATGGTCTTAATCTCCTGATCTCAGATGATGCACCCGCCTCAGCCTCCCAAAGTGCTGAGACTATAAGCGTGAGCCACCAGGCCCGGTGATTGATATAAATAATTAAGTGGTTTTTCTCCTTTAATCTATGGATAGATGATCTCAAGTAGTGAATTGCAGTTTTTTTACAATGTTGAACTATCATTCTGTATTATGGGTAAAGGGCTACATTTGATTTACAGCTAAATTTTGAAGTGATACTGGATTATAGCCTGTTTTGGTGCTGCCCCAGTCCAGTCTGAGATCAGGGCTATGCAGGCATTATACAGTGGTAAGAGGCGGCTTGCCATTACTTTCTATGCACTGGTACACTTGCAGTAACATAGGTATTATGGTTTTAGAATATTTGATAAAGCTCTTCCATAAAACATCCTAGGCCTGGTGTCCATTTTGGGGACATCCAAATCTTTGAATACCATTTCTACTTTTATAGTTATTGATCTTTTGTTTTGTTTCTGGAGATGGAGTTTCTCTCTGTTGTCTAGGCTGGAGTGCAGTGGCACGATCTTGGCTCACTGTACCCTTGGCCTCCCAGGTTCAAGTGATTCTCCTGCCTCAGCCTCCCAAGTAGCTGGGATTACAGGCACCTGCCACCATGCCCAGCTAATTTTTGTACTTTCGGTAGAGACAGGGTTTCACTATGTTGACCTGGCTGGTCTTAAATTTCTGACCTCAAGCAATTCCCCGCCTCAGCCTCCCAAAGTGCTGGGATTACAGGCTTTTTTTCTTTTTTTTTTTTTTTTGAGATAGGGTCTCTCTCTTGCCCAGGCTGGAGTACGGCAGCACAAACATGGCTCATTGCAGCCCTGAACTCCTGGCTCTGAAGTGATCCTCCCACCTCAGTTTCCCAAGTAGCTGGGACCACAGGTGTATACTACCACACTTGGCTTTTTCTTTTCTTTTGTTTTTGTAAAAATAGGTGCCTAGGCTGGTCTCAAACTCCTGAGCCCAAGTGATCTTCCTGCCTCAGCCTCCCAAATGCTGGGATTACAGGTGTGAGCCACTGTGCCCAACCTGGTCTTATACACATTCTTTACTCCTTGAGACTGACATAAAGATCATAATATTTTCATATAATTAAAAAAATCCATATCTGTAATGATTCTTTCTGATGTTACTTTTGTACTCTCTCTAAAAAGTCATAAATCCTTGCCTAATTTTTTAGTCTTTTCAAGGAAGAAGATTTTGCCTTTCTGATTATTCCTATATAACTTTTTTTTTTTTTTTTTTTTTTTTTGAGATGGAGTCTTGCTCTGTTGCCAGACTACAGTGCAGTGGTGCAATCTCGGCTCACTGCAACCTCCGCCTCCTGGGTTCAAGCGATCCTTCCACCTCAGCCTCCCGAGTAGCTGGGACTACAGGCGCGTGCCACCGCACCTGGCTAATTTTTGTATTTTTAGTAGAGACAGTGTTTCATCATGGCAAGGATGGTCTCGATCTCTTGACCTCGTGATCCACCCGCCTCCGCCTCCCAAAGTGCTGGGATTACAGGCTTGAGCCACCGCGCCCCGCAACTGTGTTTTAGAAGAGTATGTAGTTTTAGAGGGGATGGGGGGAAGTTTTATACTGTTTAAAAATCACTGCAAAATCAGCCTGGGAAACTTAGCTAAACTCTGTCTCTACTAAAAAATACAAAAATTAGCCAGGGCATGGTGGTGTACCCCTATAATCCCAGCTACTGGGAGGCTGAGGTAGGGAGGAGGTCCTCCACTTGAGCCCAGAAGGTCGAGGCTACAGTAAGCTATGATCTCTGATTGCACCACTACACTCCAGCATGGACCTTGTCTCTCTCTTACACACACATCTGATTTTCCTTTGTTTAATAACAACAACAACAAAAATCACAGACAGGCATGGTGGCTCATGCCTATAACCCCAGCACTTTGGGAGCTGAGACAGTTGCATCGCCTGAGCTCAATAGTTCAAGACTAGCCTGGGCAACACGGTGAAAGCCCATCTCTACCAAAAAATACAAAAAATTAGTCGGGTGTGATGGCAAGTGCCTGTGGTCCCAGCTACTCAGAAGGCTGAGACAGGAGGATGGATTGAGCTTGGGAGGCAGAATTTCCAGTGAGCCAACATCAAGCCACTGTACTCCAACCTGGGTGACAGAGTGGGACCCCGTCTCCAAAATAACAAACCATTCTGAGCTAGGCACAGTGGCTCAGCTCAAGCCTGTAATCCTAGCACTTTGGGAGGCCAAGGCAAGAGGATCAATTGAGCCCAGGAGTTCAAAATCAGCCTAGGCAACGTTAACAAGACCCCATTTCTTAAAAGAAAAAAAAATTAGTCGAGCCTGGTTCATGTGCCTGGCGTCCCAGCTACATGGGTGGCTGAAATGGGAAGATGGCTTGAGCCCAGGTTGAGGCTACAATGAGCTGTGATCATGCCATTACATTCCAGCCTGGTCAACAGAGCAAGACCCTGTCTCCAAAACAAATTCTGTTCTATTCCTCAACAGCTTTAATTTTTTTGGTCTTCCTGACCTACAAGGGTACTCAGAAAATTGAGCTTTACACACATCTCTGAGATCCTGTAATTCTATCAATTTTTGCCTTATGTGTATGTTTCATGATTGATAATGTCTTAATGAATTGTTCTCTGTCCTTTTTTTTTTTTAAGAGATGAAGTTGCCCAGGCTGGAGTGCAATGGTGCAATCTCGGCACATGGCAACTTCTGCCTCCCGGGTTCAATTATCCTGCCTCAGCCTCCCAAGTAGCTGGGATTATAGGAATGTACCACCATGCCCAGCTAATTTTGTATTTTTAGTAGAGACGGGGTTTCACCATGTTGACCAGGACGGTCTCAATCTCTTGACCTCGTGATCCACCCACCTCGGCCTCCCAAAGTGCTGGGATTATAGGCATGAGCCACCGCGCCCGGACTAATTTTTTATTTTTAGTAGAGATGGGGTTTCTCCATGATGTTCAGGTTGGTCTCAAACTACCAACCTGAGGTGATCCACCCGCCTCAGCCTCCCAAAGTGCTCGGATTACAGGCATGAGCCACCATGCCTGGCCTCTCTGTCGTATTTATTGCTTTTTATCTTGAATCTTTCCTCTGATTTAGCTAATTTTGGCTAGATTTTTTTGGAATACAATATTAAAAGTGTCATTTAATATGTTTATTGTTATTGCAATCACTGATGTTTGAAATTATTCCTATAATTTTCTATTTTCTTTTTTTAAATTAGAGATGGGCTTTTCACATGTTAGCCAGGCTGGTCTTGAACTCCTGACCTCAGGTGATCCGCCTGCCTTGGTCTCCCAAAGTGCTGGATTACAGAGGATTACAGAGGTGAGCCACCGAGCCCAGCCCAATTTTGTTATTTTCTAATTAACAGATTTTATTTCTTTAAACCTTTCCTGCCTCAATTGGATTAAGTTTCCTCCCACTCCTAATTCTCTTTGCAGTGTTTAACAACGTCTACTATCAGTGTGCTTAGCATGTTTGACTTTCCCAAATTTAAAAACTTGTTTTACACTCAGAACTTTTGAAAAAATCTTAGTAGCTTCTTTCAAAACTCATTTTTCCTTCTTCACAGTTCTTCCAAAAAGTGTATGCAGGTGGTACTTTTGAGTCTATGTCAGAAGGCATCTTTTATTCTCACATTTTGATGGTAGTTGGCTATATATAAAAATCCTAGGTTATTGATTTATTGTCACTTCTAGTGTTGCTGAGAAGATGCCTGATGTTTCATTCTACTTCCTTTGTAGGTAATCTATTTTTTTTCTAGTTTTGGGATTTTGTTCTGAGTCTTTTTGTTATGCTGTTATATTTATTGTTTGTTTATTTTGTTAATAAGACAGGGTCTTGCTTTGTCAGCCAGGCTAGAGTGCAGTAGCTCAATCATGGCTCACTGCAGCCTCAACCTCCAGGACCCAAGTGATCCTCTCGCCTCAGCCTCCCCAGTAGCTGGGACTACAGACGCCCACCACCATGCCTGGCTAATTTTTTTGTAGAGACAGGGTTTCACCATGTTAAGGCTGGTTTCAAACTCCTGAGTTCAAGTGATCCACCTGCTTAGGCACCCTAAAGTGCTGGGATTACAGGTATGAGTCACTGCACCTGGACCAGAATTTTTGTTAAAAAAGTGAAATCAGCTGGGCATGGTGGCCCACCCTGTAATCCCAGAACTTTGATAGGCCGAGCCAGGCGAGTCATGAGGTCAGGAGATCAAGACCATCCTGGCTAACAAGGGAAACCCTGTCTCTACTAAAAATACAAAAAATTAGCCAGGCATGGTGGCACATGACTGTAGTTCCAGCTACTCAGGAGGCTGATACAGGAGAATCACTTGAACCTGGGAGAGGCAGAGGTTGCAGTGAGCTGAGACTGCCAAAGCACTCCAGCCTGGGTGACAGAGTGAGACTCCATCTCAAAAAAAAAAAAAAAAAAAAAAAAAAGGCCATGTACAGTGTCTCATGTCTGTAATCCAGCAGTTTGAGAGGCCAAGGCAGATGGATCACTTGAGCTCAGGAGTTCAAGACTAGCCTGGGCAACATGGCAAAACTCTCTACCAAAAACACAAAGTACACCTGTAATCCCAACTACTTGGGAGGCTGAGGTGGTAGGATTGCTTGAGCCCATAGGTTGAGGCTGTAGTAAGCAGTGAGCCATGACTGTGCCATTTTATTCCAGCCTGGTGACACAGTAAGACCTTGTCTCAAAAAAACAAAAATCTTGTTACAACTTTGTTACCCCTTTGGATGAGTTCTAGGAAAATGTCTACCTTTTTTCAGATAATGCTTACATATCCTCTCCCTCTTCTCTCCTCCTAGATGTAAGCACATCCTCCTGTTCACTTCACCTGAGAACCCACTGCCATCTTTGTGTGGCATGACTATAATGCTTCTGTTGTTTCATTCTTTGTTCTGAATCTCCGATCCCTCAGGATCACTAATAATTCTTTTTCTGGGCCAAGCGTGGTGGCTCATGTCTGTAATTCCAACACTTTGGGAGGCCAAGGCAGGCGGATCACTTGAGATTAGGAGTTCCAAATTAGCCTGGCCAACGTGGTGAAACCCCATCTCTACTAAAAATACAAAAATTATCCAGGCATGGTGGCAGGCGCCTGTAACCTCAGCTACTTAGGAGGCTGAGGCGAGAAAGAGAATTGCCTGAACCAGAGAGGTGGAAGTTGCAGTGAGGGGGACAGAGTGACACACTGTTTCCAAAAAAAAAAAGCCGGGCATGGTGGCACGGGCCTGTAGTCCCAACTACTGGGGAGTCTGAAGCAGGAGGATCACTTGAGCCCAGGAGTTCTGGGCTGTAATGCGCTATGCCAATTGGGTGTCTGCACTAAGTTCAGCATCAATACGTTAATCTCCCAGGAGCGGGGGACCACCAGGTTGCCTGAGGAGGGGGTGAACCAGCCCACCAGCCCAGGTCGGAAATGGAGCAGGTCAAAACTCCTGTGCTGATTAGTAGTGGGATCACACCTGTGAATAGCCACTGCACTCCAGCCTGGGCAAGACAGCGAGACCCGTCTCTTAAAAATAAAAGTAAAAAAAAATTTAATTATTTTTTGCTTTTTCAGTATGGTGACAGGACATTTACCTTAAAAAAAAAAAAAATCCTCTCTTTTTTTTTTTTGATACGGAGTTTCGCTCTTGTTACCCAGGCTGGAGTGCAATGGCGTGATCTCGGCTCAATGCAACCTCCGCCTCCCGGGTTCAGGCAATTCTCCTAGCTCAGCCTCCTGAGTAGCTGGGATTACAGGCACGTACCACCGTGCCTAGCTAATTTTTTGTATTTTTAGTAGAGACGGGGTTTCACCATGTTGACCAGGATGGTCTTCATCTCTTGACCTAGTGATCCACTCACCTTGGCTTTCCAAAGTGCTGGGATTACAGGCTTGAGCCACCGCGCCCAGCACCCCCCCGCTTTTTTTTTTTTTTTTGAGATAGGGTCTCACTCTGTTGTCCAGGCTGGAGTGCAATGGTGTGATCTCGCCTCACTGCAACTTCTGCCTTCCAGGCTCAAATTTTACTCCTGCCTCAGCCTCCCAAGTAACTGGGATAACAGGTACAAGCCACACCACACCCAGCCCTTTATATCATTTTTAAGATTTGATGCTTGAGACCATAGTCTGCTAATCCTGACAACAGAAAACAAGAGTATGTTTTAATATAACAATTTTTTTTTTTGAGATGGAGTCTCACTCTTATTGCCCAGGCTGGAGTGCAATGGAGCAATCTCAGCTCATTACAACCTCTGTCTCCCGGGTTCAAGTGATTCTCCTGCCTCAGCCTCCCGAGTAGCCGGGATTACAGGCACCTCCTACCACGCCTGGCTAATTTTTTATATTTTTAGTAGAGACAGGGCTTCACTATGTTGATCAGGCTAGTCTTGAACTCCTGACCTCAGGCGATCCACCCGCCTCTGCCTCCCAAAGTGCTGGGATTATAGGCGTGAGCCACCGCGCCTGGCCAACAAATTTTTTTTTTCTTTTTTAGGCACATGGGTCTCACTCTTTTGCCCAGGATGGAGTGCAGAGGCATGATCATAGTTCACTGCAGCCTTGAACTCCTGGGCTCAAGCAATCCTCCCACCTCTTAGCCTCCAGAGTAGCTGGGACTAGAGGAACATGTCAAGCTCCAGCAATCTGCCCACCTCAGCCTCCCAAAGACAGGCATAAGCCCCTGTGGCCGACCCCTATCAGTTTTGTTTTTTTTTTTCCTTGAGACAGAGTCTCATTCTGTCACCAAGGTTTGAGTGCAGTGGTGCCATCTCGGCTCATTGCAGCCTCCTCCTCCTGGATTCGAGCAATTCTCCTGTACAGGGTTGTGCCACTACACCCCACTAATATTTGTATTTTTAGTAGGGACTGGGTTTTGCCATATTGGCCAGGTTAGTTTTGAACTCCTGACCTCAAGTGATCCGCCCACCTTGGCTTCCCAGAGTGCTGGGATTACAGGCATAAGCAACTACCTTGGCCACCAGTTGCTTAATAAGAGTTAGTACTAGGATATAATTTCTGTGAGCTGGCTCACAGAGTGTGCTGGCTCATGCCTGTAATCCCAGCACTTTGGGAGGCCGAGGTGGGTGCATTACCTGAGGTGGGTGTATTACTTGAGGTGAGGAGTTCAAGACCAGCCTGGCCAACATGGCAAAACCCTGTCTCTACTAAAAATACAAAAATTAGCCGGCATGGTGGTGCATGCTTGTAACTGGGAGGCTGAGGCAGGAGAATTGCTCGAACCAGAGAGACAGAAGTTGCACTGAGCTGAGAACGTGCCACTGCATGCACCCTGGGTGCCAGAGTGAAATTCCGTCTCAGAAAAAAAAAAAAAAAAAATTAATGTGAGAGTACCTAGTTTGGAACCAATCAGGTAAGATGTTCTATGATGGGCACCTTGGGGCACCAACGTGCAGAGGACAAAGTACTGGCTGCTAGGAGAAGGAAAGGCTTCAGAATTCGACCCACTTGGCTCGGTGGCTCACGCCTATAATCCCAGCACTTTGGGAGGCCAAGGCGGGTAGAGTGCTTGAGCCTAGGAGTTTGAGATTAGCCTGGGCAACATGGTAAAACCCCATCATCACTATTAAAAAACAAAAAAAAACAACCTACTCAGCTGAATCTCAGTTTGGCTGCTTACTCACCATACCATGTCGTCTTAGGTGAATTATTTGGCCTATCTGCCCTCTAGTTTCTTCATATATAAAAAGTGCCTATGAAATGCTTACCACAAAGCTTGAAACAGACACATAATAATTTGTCCTGGTTTTGCCACTATGATTCCAGGTCTCATTTTCTCTTATCTGTACAAAAGGGTTCACACAGACTAATGATCTCAGGTCTCACCCAACTGTGTAATTCTATGATTAACTGTTAATAAATTCTATTACCAAAAAAACCTCAAACTATTTTGAAGCAATCCAAGTTTCCAATGGTAATAGTTTGATCATTTTTCATTTTGAAGATGCTGACAACCCAGCTTCTTCTAGTCTGGTCTGCAGGGGTATGCTCATTTATTGTGGAAATAAAATGTTGGTTAATACATAGAAAATGGAGAAAATTTCTCAAAGTTAGAGCCACACAGACCATCTAATATAAAGCCCTCATTTTAGAAAACCAGATGAGAACTCAAATGGCACCTCCCTAGTTAAATAAAACCAATACAAAGCTTTAACCTACCAGTTTGATATGCAGCTTCTGCTGCCATCTCTGAAAGACCAACTGCAGTCATCCAAGTGGTTTCCAGCTTCAAGTATTCTTGTTGTTTTGAAGTCATCTATATAAAACAAGCAAAATGCTTGAAACAGCATGAGAGGTACAGCCCATTTAAATGGACTTAAAGTAGTAGATTTAGAGAACAGTCACTGATTATATTCGTTAGACTTAGTAATTTAGATACTACCTGAGGTAGGTGCACTGACACAGAAATGCCTATAACTTTTTGCTTACCTCAACTCTGGCTCCTATGATCACCTGCCACACTTCATCTTCCTCCTGTGAATTCATTTTCCCAAGTAAACTTGTATATTGTCGGTAAAGAGAAACTAAGGTATAAACAGCCTACAAATACAGAATGAATAAGTCTGAGTAAAATAAGTGAGACATATTAGAAGGAATAGAGAGATTTCCACCTGAAGGAAATTAAGTCCCATTATAGCAAACTGGTTCTTCCATACTGCTGCCTCACTGAAAAACTGCACTATTATCCTATGCAGTAAAGGTATCACTCCAGGACATCAATATTTCTATCTGTAAACTTGTGCGTTTAAAAGCTTGTCAACAATTCAGACACAGAGAATACAATACAAGGGAAAACTCTAAAGCCTCAGAAAAACAGCTGCTAGAAAATATATGTAAAATAAATGCAAAAATGAGACTTCAATAATTTTGATTAGCTACTTTTTTTTTTTTTTAAGACAGTGTCTGTCTCACCCAGGCTAGAGTGCAGTGGCACGATCTTGGCTCACTGCAGCCTCCGCCTCTTGGGTTTAAGCGATTCTCCTGTGTCAGCCTCATGAGTAGCTGGGATTACAGGCGTGTGCCACAACACCTGGTCAGTTTTGTATTTTTAGTAGAGACGGGGTTTCACCATTTTGGCTAGGCTGGTCTCAAACTCCTGACCTGAGGTGATCCACCCGTCTTGGCCTCCCAAAGTGCTGGGAATACAGGCGTGAGCCACTACGCCTGGCATCCATATACTCTTTAAAAAAACTTATTTTTTACAAACAGGGTGCAACATCACCCAGACTGAAGTGTAGTGGCATGACCAGAGCTCACTGTAACCGCAAACTCCTGGACTCAGGTGATCTCCTACCTCAGCCTCTGGAGTAAGTGGGAATACAGGCACACAATACACCATGCCTGGCTAAGTTTAAAATTTCTTTTGGTAGAGACAGGGCTCACTATGTTGACTGGGCTGGTCCTGAACTCCTGGCCCCATGTGATCCTCCCGCCTTGGTTCCCCAAAATGCTCAGATTACAGACATGAGCCACCATGCCTGGCCCATACTAGTTTAGATCAGTGGTTTTTAAATAATCCTTACAGAGATGCTTCTGTTGATAGACCACGGACCCCTTTATCTGTAACTGAACCACATCAGCTTGACTCCTGTTTTATATTCTAAGCTGCCATATTTAAGACTTTTCTGTTAAAAAAAAAAAAACGTTCCTGGAAAAAGTCTAAAAACCAGTGATTTAAATCAGGGGTCAGCAAACTTTCTTTGTGAAGGGCCAGACTGTAAATATTTTAGGCTTTGTGGGCCTTATAGCCTCTGCTGAAACACTCAAACTCTCAAAAACAGTTATTGACAATATATAAATAAATACGCCAGACTATGTTTCAATAAAATACCAACATGGGCATCAGACAATTTGGTTTTGAGTCATTATTTGCTAAATCATGGTTTAGAAGATCAAGAGTTAACAAGAGGAGACATACCTTAGTATATTCAGTAATAGCTTCAATCAACGCATATGTGGTCTGAGAGAGAAAGGTAGAGGTGCTATCTGTTACCAAAGACACCGCCCTCCTCATCAATGCTTCATTACTAAGGGAATGAGGCTCCGATTTCTGAAAGACAAACATTGTCACTAGACCGCTAAAGCTCAAACTGAGAACTTTTTTACCAACAGGCAAGTAAAAAAACATAATTGTCATGCTGCTTAGCGTTTTAAGCTGAAACTGCACTACATTTTTGGGGTTTATATTTTTTAAGGCCTTATTTAGGCAATTTAAGACAATATAGGGAAATAATTCCAGAGTATGCTTTCTAGTGACTTTCATTCTCTGCTCCAAAAAGCAAATTATTTCTTTATATATAAAATAAAATGGGGCTAGGCATGGTGGCTCATGCCTGTAATCTCAGCATTTGGGAGGCCGAGGAGGGCAGATCACTTGAGGTCAGGAGTTTGAGACCAGCCTAGCCAACATGGCGAAACCCCATCCCTACTAAAAAATACAAAAATGAGTCGAGTGGTAGTGGTGTGTGCCTGTAAACCCAGCTACTTGGGAGGCTGAGGCAGGAGAACTGCTTGAACCTGGGAGGCGGAGGTTGCAGTGAGACAAGATCACACCACTGCACTCCAGCATGGGTGACACAGCAAGACTCTCAAAAAAACAAAAAAAAATGCTATTGATTATAACCAACAGATTCATAAGATTACAATTCATTCATTAACAGTGTTAGATACTTGAGACACAAAGTCTCAATAAAACATTCTCTGCCCTCAAACACAGGTGCAGGGGCAGAGAGAGGAAGATGATGGGCTAACAGAACTAGACAAATGAGCACAATTATTTATCATGGAAGTGGTGGCAGGAGTATGTATGAGCTATAGTGGGGGCATGCAGAAGGGAGCAATCAGTTCTATGTAGAGTTATAATGGCTTAGAAAAGGCTTCACAAATTTAATGAGGATTAAGCTGAGTCTAAGTGGACAGGCAAGGCAATTCTGAGCAGAATGAAGCAGTAGGGTGTTGATGGGGGAACCTCAGCTATTTTGATTTTTTTTGAGACAGAGTTCCACTCTGTCACCCACGCTGGAATACAGTGGCTCAATCTTGACTCATTGCAACCTCTGCCTCCCAGGCTCAAGCAATTCTCTTGCTTCAGCCTCCCACATGGTTGGAATTACAGGCACCTGCCACCACACTTCGCTAATTTTTTTGTATATTTAGTAGAGATGGGGTTTCACCATGTTGTTGCCCAGGCTGGTCTTCAACTCCTGATCTCAAGTGATATACCCACCTTAGCCTCCATAAGTGCTGGGATTACAGGCGTGAGCCACTGAGCCCCACCTGACCTCAGCTATTTTAATAAAGAAAAGACCAATATAATCACCTGTGGCTACCCTGACTAAATACTGGCAACTGTAATGACACATCATCCATGACTCTCTGCCTTTTTCCTCCTCAGCAAAGCACTTCTTATATCAGAACCAACAAAGAAATCAGTCACTCAGCTGGGTATGATGTAATCTTAGCACTTTGGGAGGCCAAGGCAAGAGGATAACCTGAGGTCAGGAGTTTGAGATCAGCCTGGCCAACATGGTGAAACTTCGTTTCTACTAAAAATACAAAAATTAGCTGGCGTGGTGGTAGGTGCCTGTAATCCCAGCCACTTGGGAGGCTGAGGCAGGAGAATTGCTTGAACCCAGGAAGTGGAGGTTGCAGTGAGCTGAGATTGCACCATTGCACTCCAGCCTGGGTGACGAAAGTGAAACTCCATCTCAAAAAAAAAAAAAAAAAAGCAATCACACCATGCTCTGTCTTGTTTTTGATATTCAGAGTATAAACACTCAGAATCACTGCATGTTGAAAGCATCAGTCAAGAAATATTTTTGATATGAACAAATCAAGAACTTTATATTTCATTCAATCAAGTACAAAGGGAAGAATGACATCTCTGCTCACAAGAAGCTAATTTTGTCTTAATGTTCTGATAAGTCTTCATAATGTACTATATTTTACAATGTGTTTTCACTTGTTTCTCACAACAGTCCAGTTATCACTTCTTTTCTACAAGCAACAACATGGAAGCTCAGAATAGTTATGTAACTTTTCTAAAAAGTCACATCTAGACCTCAAACCAAATCTCACTCCAAAGTCTGTATGTACCCTTCCCATTATGCTTTGCTAACTCAGGACAGTGCCATAGGATTATCATCAAATATTAAAATATACAATATTAAGTGATGGGAAAGGAGACGGCTATTGCACAGGAATAAGGAAAGGTTTTAAATAGAGGTGAGACTTGGTACTAAAGAGTCCAAGAATCAGAATGGCCAGGCATCCTGGATAATAGGAAACAATGAGGAAAATAATTCATTTGTTGCAGGGGATGTCCAGGGATCTAGACTGGTTGGAGCAATGGCATAAGACAGATGAGACTCATTAGGGTTCTGGAGTGCAGGGCGACTTAGCTGGATTTTAGTTCTGAACACCTCATGGAGAGCCACTCTAAAGTTTTTCATTTCTCATTCTGTCACTCAAGATGGAGTGCAGTGTTGTGATACCAGCCAACTGCAGCCTTGAACTCCTGGGCTCAAATGATCCTCCTACCTCCCGAGTAGCTAGGACTACAGACACACGCCACTACACCTGGCTGTTTTTTGTAGAGGGGAGGTTTCGCTATGTTGCCCAGGCTGGTGTCAAATTCTTGGCCTACAGCGATCCTCCCGCTCAGCCTCCAAAAGTACTGGGATCACAAGACTGAGCCATCATGCGTAGCTGACCACTGAGGGGTTTTAAAGAATGAAGTGGGATTGCTATACTAAATGACCAGGGGCCCCCATCATGTGGCCCAGAACTGAGGTAAATGGGACTTAGAAAGTAACATAATAACTGAGAAAGGACAAATCTAAAAAAAAATCTTTTGAATTAAAAAATGCTGTACCAGTTGTGGCCGAAAATGGCCTGGTATTCAAGTGAGCATAGTTTTAGGGCTATAGATTCATCAGCGTGCAAGGATGACAAATGAAGTGAAGTACAGTAAGGCAAGGGCTCAGGAGTGAGCCTCAGAAGATGCTAAAAATACTTGATACATGGAATTAATCTTGCTTTTGTGATGAACACACACATCAGTAGCAGGAATATTTTGCTGAAATGGAGCTTGCTGGTTTCCTACCTAGTTCTTACCATAAACCATTTAAGCTACAATTTTTAAAATGAAGTCCCCCCTCCTTTTTTTTTTTTTGAGACAGAGTCTCGCTCTGTCTGCCACCCAGGCTGGAGTGCAGTGGCGCAATCTTGGCTCTCTGCAATCTCTGCCTCCCAGGTTCAAGCAATTCTCTTGCCTCAGCCTCCCAAGGAGGTGGGACTACAGGCGTAGGCACATGCCACCATGCGTGGCTAATTTTTTACATATATATATTTTTTAATAGAGACAGGGTTTCACTGTGTTGCCCAGGCTGGTCTTGAACGTCTGAGCTCAGGCAATCCACCCACCTTGGCCTCTACAGGCGTAAACCACTGCACCCGACGGAAGTGCCTTTTTTTTGAGACAGTGTCTTGCACTGTCACCCAGGCTGTAGTGCAGTGGTGTGATCTCGGCTCACTGCAATCTCTGCCTCCTGGGTTCAAATAATTCTCCTGCCTCAGCCTCCCAAGTAGCTGGGACTACAGGTGTACACCATCCCCAGCTATTTTTTTTTGTATTATTAGTAGAGATGGGATTTCACCATGTTAGCCAGCATGGTCTTGATCTAACCTCATGATCCGCCTGCTCGGCCTCCCCAAAGTGCTGGGATTACAGGCATGAGTCACCGCACCCGACCAAAGTGCCATTTTTTAATCAACTACTTAATTGACAGCTCTACCTAAATGTTTCTTAGACATTTTGGAAATAACATTTCCAAAACTGTGAATTGATTATTTTTTTCCCTTTCAAAACCCACTCCGCTCCATCCTACTAAATGTCAACTCCATTCATTCAGTTGCTAAGGCCTTTAAAAAAATCTTGGAATCGGCCAGGCACAGTGACTCACGCCTATAATCCCAGCACTTTGGGAGGCTAAGGCAGGTGAATCACCTGAGGTCGAGAGTTTGAGACCAGCCTGACCAACATGGAGAAACCCTGTCTCTACTAAAAATACAAAACCAGGTGTGGTGGCACATGCCCATAATCCCAGCTACTCCAGAGGCTGAGGCAGGAGAATCATTTGGACCCAGGTGGCAGGGGCTGCAGTGAGCCAAGATTGTGCTATTGCACTCCACCCTGGGCAACAACAGTGCAGCTTCGCCTCAAAAAAAAAAAAAAAATAAAATAAAATAAATAAATAAATATATATATATCTCTCTCTTGGAATCTAAAGCGGTGGCCTTCAACTTTTGTGGCACCAGGGACCAGTTTTGAAGAAGACACTTTTTCCACAGACTGAGTGGGGGAGGATGGTTTTAAGGTGAAACTGGTCCACCTCAGATCATCAGGCATTAGATTCTTATAAGGTGCACATGACCTAGGTCCCTCGCATGTGTAGTTCACAAAAGGGTTCATGCTCTTATGAGAATCTAATGCCACTGCTGATCTGACCAGAGGCGGAGCTCAGACGGTAATGCTCACCTGCCTGCCACTCACTTCCTGCTGTGCAGCCGGCTTCCTCACAGGCCACAGACCAGTACTAGCCCAGGGGTTGGGGACCCCTAATCTAGAGAAAACATCCCACATCCAATCCATCCGCAACTCCTGCTGGCTACGTTCAGCTAAATTCCCCTCACCTCTCCTGCCTGCCTGGTCCAAGCCACTATCATTTCACGCCTATATATGGCAAGATCCTTCTATTAGTCTTCCTAGTTCCACACAGCAACTTTTAAAAACTTTTAAAATTTAGGCCGGGTGTGGTGGCTCATGCTGTGTAATCCCAGCACTTTGTAAGGCTGAGGTGGGCGGATCACCTGAGGTAGGGAGTTAGAGACCAGCCTGAGGAACATGGAGAAACCCCATCTCTACTGAAAATACAAAATTAGCCAGACATAGTGGCGCATTCCTATAATCCCAGCTACTCAGGAGGCTGAGGCAGGAGAATCGTTTGAACCCAGGAGGCAGAGGTTGAGTGAGCCAAGATTGTGCCATTGCACTCCAGCCTGCCAACAGAGTAAGAGACTGTCTAAAAAAAAAAAAAAAAAAAAAAAAATTCCTGTGGCAGCTTTTTTGAGAATAAAACCAAAAGCCTTACAATGGCCCACAAACTATAAAGCACACGACCTGATTATCAGTTAACTCTCTGGCTTCATCTTACTGTTTCCCCCATTCTACTCCAGTCACAGTAGCCTCCTTGCTCCTCAAACATATCAGGCATACTACTGCTTTTAGGTCTCTGCTATTCCGAGTTCCTTCTGCCTGGAAAGCTCTTCTCCCCACCAGATAGTATAATGGCTTACTTTTTCAGAACATTCAGATCTCTACTTCTCTACTCTACATTCAGAGTAGCTCTTCTTGACCACCTTTATCTAAAACAAAACAACCCCCTCCCAGTATTGCCTATTCACTTACCCTATTTGTTTTGTTTTTTCTTTTTTTTTTGAGAAAGGGTCTTGTCCTGTTGCCCAAGCTAGGCAGCAGTGAGATCACAGCTCACTGCAGCCTCAAACTTCCGGGCTCAAGCAATCATCCTCCTGCCTTAGCCTCCTGAGTAGTTGGGACTACAGGTGTGAGCCACCACACCTGGCTAATTTTTTTCTTTTTTTGAAGAGACAGAGTCTCCCTATGTTGACCAGGCTGGGTCTCAAACTCCTGGGTTCAAGCCATCCTCCCAACTTGGCATCCCAAAGCACTGGGCATCAATCAGCCACTGTGCCCGGCCCTGTTTTCTTCTTACCATGTATTACCAGCTGATAATTTTATATTTATTTATTTGTGCCTCTTTCATCTCCACAAAGCATTTTGTGAGAGCAAGAATTTTTTGTTGTTGTTCATTCTTACATTCTCAGTACCTGGCACATAAAAGTTGCTCAATAAATTTTTGTTAAATCAAAGACTATTTTGCTGATAGACTGTAATATCCTCTTATTTCTCTTTTTTTTTTTGAGATGGAGTCTCGCTGTTACCCAGGTTGGAGTGCAGTGGCAAGATCTCGGCTCACTGCAATTTCCATCTCCCCGGTTCAAACCATTCTCCTGCCTCAGCCTCCTGAATAGCTGGGACTACAGGCGTGTGCCACCATACCCAGCTAATTTTTTGTACTTTTAGTAAAGATGGGATTTCACCATGTTATCCAGGATGGTCTTGATCTCCTGACATCGTGATCCACCCTCCTCCACGTCCCAAAGTGCTGGGATTACAGGCGTGAGCCACCATGCCTAGCCTAACTCTTATTTTTCTCTACCCACTTTATACAATTTGATGTGCTGTTCCTACCTGTTAGAAATAGATGCTTGGTGCCGCAAATAAAAATCAGCACCAAGACAAAGGATCATTTAGCAATGCAATTTTTACTTCCTGGACTACAGGAAGCATACCCTTGATAGTCATCATGCAAGGAGTAGCAATCTATTGCTGTTAGCAACCTAACGGGAGTACCCTTTCAGCAGGAAGTAAAAAGAATTGCTTTGCTGAGAGATCCTTTGTCTCAGTATTAATTTTTCTTTGTGGTACCAAAAAGAAAAATGTTATATGTAACACTACCAAATGAGACAATCAAAATGAGAATATTAATACATCTGCTCAACTGTGAAAAGATCCTGGTGTCAGGCCGGGCGCGGTGGCTCACGCCTGTAATCCCAGCACTTTGGGAGGCCAAGGCGGGTGGATCACAAGGTCAAGAGATCAAGACCATCCTGGTCAACATAGTGAAACGCCGTCTCTACTAAAAATACAAAAAATTAGCTGGGCACAGTGGTGCATGCCTGTAATCCCAACTACTCAGGGGTCTGAGGCAGGAGAATTGCCTGAAACCGGGAGGCGGAGGTTGCGGTGAGCCGAGATCGTGCCGTTGCACTCCAGCCTGGGTAACGAGCAAAACTCTGTCTCAAAAAAAAAAAAAAAAAAAAAAAAAAGATCCTGGTGTCGTACAAAGTATATCATCATGTGGGGGAAGGTATGGGCGCCATTGAGACTTCAAGAGAACACGGTACATTAAGAAACGAAACACTGCACAGGGCAGTACTTTACCTGTGCAATAGGAACCGCACACAGGGTTACTCCAAAGCCAACTGCCACCGTTTTGTGCCATGGTCTTATCAATTCTGAGAAACAACGCTTCTTAAAGTTAGCCACGACAGGAACACACTGTCTGTACCTGGAAATAGAAGTCAGATTTCATGAGGCACAACTGCCAATCTGTAACAGACTCTTGATTTGCAGGGGCTATAAAACTCAAACTCAGGCCAAGCAGGAACCTAAATGAGGATGTGGGACAGCCTTCCCAATGACAGGGCACAGTGCAAGTGGGCAACGGGGGGCGGGGGCAGTGGGGCGTGACGGCCTGGGGAGCCAGGCCAACCATCACAAGCAGGAAACTGGCGAGGTGTTTTGAAAAAAATTTTTTTTTGAGAGGGAGTTTCACTCTTGTTACCCAGGCTGGAGTGCAATGGCGCGATCTTGGCTCACCGCAACCTCCGCCTCCTGGGTTCAAGCAATTCTCCTACCTCAGCCTCCTGAGTAGCTGGGATTACAGGCACGCGCCACCATGCCCAGCTAATTTTTTGTATTTTTAGTAGAGACGGGGTTTCACCATTTTGACCAGGATGGTCTCGATCTCTTGACCTCGGGATTCCCCCCGCCTCGGCCTCCCAAAGTGCTGGGATTACAGGCTTGAGCCACTGCGCCCGGCTGAAATTTTCAACAGACAACACTTAAGTTTAAAAGGTTGCCTCGGGTAGGGCATGGTGGCTCATGCCTGTAATCCCAGCACTTGGAAGGCCAAGGCAAGAGGATTGCTCGAGCTCAGGAGTTCAAGACCAGACTGGGCAATATGGTCAAACCTCGTCTCTACTAAAAATTACAAAAATCAGCCAGGCATGGTGGGGAGCTCCTGTAATCCCAACTACTCGGGAGGCTGAGACAGGAGAGGAGAATAGCTTGAACGGGGGAGGCGGAGGTTGTAGTGAGCTGCGATCTGGCCAATGCACTCTAGCGCGGGCGACAGAGCCAGATCCTGACTCAAAAAATAAAATAAAATGTCGCCTTAAAGCTTTTTATAATAAACGCTCCTGCAGGCAGGATTTAGCTCTGCAGCCATGGCCTGGGTACCAGGTGTGTCTGACAGTCCCGCTACAAACGCCCAGGAGCCTGCAGCGCTAGGAGGTAAGCCCCGCGCCAGTTACCCAGGGTCCCGTCTGCCCTCTGGGAGGACGTCCTCAGACGTTCCCTTCTCTTTCCTGGCTTCCCCACGCCGTGTCCTTCCTCCTCTCCAAGTCTCCTCAGGGACTTCGAGAGGCCCCATGAAGGCAGCCCAGGGTCTGGGAGACTCGCTTCTACAAAATAGACGAACTCAAAAGAAAGGAAGCAGGGCATGACCCAGGGGGCGGAGGCAGGACCATTCTCAGTCATCTCGAGCGGGGAGAGACGCCGCGGCCCGGCTCGGCCGACGAGAGATGAGCATGTAAGCAAAGCGAGCGCCGTGGGCCGGCCTCAGCGCTATCCACGTCGGTCTCTCCCTCTGGTCCTGCCCCACTATGCGGCTGCAGCAGTACCTGAACAGTGAGGTTACGCTGCGCGACAGCCAACTCTTCAGAGCCGCCATCCCGTGGTGGGCGGACGCCGGACGCACACGCCGGAAGTGACGTAGCTTCGTGAGCGCGGGGCGGGGCGCGGCCTCCACCTGAGAGAGCCTCACCCCATGGCCACGCCCCCACCCAAGGAAGTAGTCGGGATAGGGCAGATGGGGAGGGAGAGGACGGGGCTTAGGGCAACGGTCGTAACGGCCGCGCCAGGCAACCAACCGCCGGAGCTTCCGCGCGGGGCGGGGCATACGCAGGGCCTGAGGGCGCAGAACTGAGACGGGCGCCGCGACGCTGGGGGGGTGGGCGGGGCCTCGGCTCTGGCCCGTACTGGAGGGGAGTTCCGCGGTGAGTTGGGTTCGGCGGGAGGCGGTGGCGGGGCGCGGCGGTGGCGCTGTCACTTCAGCACCAGGAAGTAGGTGGTCCAGCCGGCCAGCAGCAGCGCCCCGATGAGCACCGTGTAGCTGAGGAGCACGAAGGCGAGCAGCTCCCGCAGCAGCTGCAGCACGTGGACGGTGGACGAGGCCGGCATCGCGCTGCGCGGGAGCCCCGGGACGGTCGGCAGCTTGCAGGGCTGGCGCGTCCGGAGGGGCGGACGGGAACACACGAGGTCCTGGCCCCTCGAAACAGCAAACGAAGGCTAGGGAAGCCCACAGTACCAGCCTCCCCAGCAGCCTCCTGGACGCTCGCTTCTTGGTTACACTGGAGACTCCTTCTCAACCCAAACTGCCCTCGCTCTTCGGCTCTGATCTAGGCTGAGGAGGCAGAACCCGGCTCTTCCCCGCGCCTTGCTGCTGCACAAGTCTTCCTCCCAGCCCTCTCTTCCCACCACCTCCTGCATTTTTAATGCTGTTTGTGCCGCTAATGGGCTGGTAGAGTAAAGCTTTCTTTTCCCGTCACTCAAGCTGCAGTCCCGGCTGCGGCCCTGGCTGGAAGGGGAAGGGGAGAGAGACCCATCTGGGCAGGAGGAAGGCACAGGCCCAAACCTGCCCTTCTGTGAGTTCCCTGGCCCCAAGGCATGCCAGCAGCAGAGTTGGAGGATCTTCGCTTTGTGGTCCAGCATGCTTGTCTCCTGGCCAGCCAGGACTGCAGGGTGCCAGGTGGTGGGTGGGCATTAATCTGATCCTGGGCTCACCTCCCCTACCGTGCTCTATGCATCTGCCCCCGCGCTGCTAACTTCCACCAGAGACGGGCATCGGACATTAAGAACCCCACACCAGCTCATCAGACAGTAGGAACCCTACCGCACCACCACTGCTGCCCTGCCCAGCCACTCCCCGCAATGCCAGGCACTGGCTTCCCTCTCTCCCATCTCACTTACTTGGCAAAGTTTCCACTTGTCCACCCAGAAGCTCCGAGGTTCCCTGTCTGCTCTGGTGCCCAAAGGTAGCTTGTGTGTACTCCACGATCTCGGCAGAACTGAGATTTTCAAGCAGCAGCACTCAACAACTAGGTGTGGTCTAGAGACCAATTACAACCTCCGCGTGGTCCCTGAGCTCTCAGGGAGCTGCGCACAGGCGTTCCCAGCCCAGGCGGGGCGCTGGCAACCCTGCCCGCCCTCCACCCTCGCCACCACAGCCCACAGGGCTCAGCTGTGGTTTCACAGACCTAGATGGGCTGAGCAGGTGGTAACTAGTGGGTATTTCAAGCCCCTCTTGTCTTGTGTTTTTCTGAATACTGTAAGGGGTTAGAGTGCCAGTAGTTTCGTTTCTGACACATGGAGAGCAGTCCCACTCCTCTGAGTGTGGGCACCAGAAGAACCACTGCACCAGTGGTCACTTATGACTGCCCAACTAAAACAAAAGCTGTTGTCTTAAAATACATGCAAATGCAAGCATGCACATGTGTGAGAACAAGCTTAGATGACTGAAATCTCCCAAGTGCTTGATTCCAATTTACAAAGAGTTTCACAGCTTACAGACTCATCATACAGGCAGGCACCTTTCCAATGTGACACTTCCAATTTCACCTCCTCCAAATGTGAGGCAAAAGGAGCCAGCGATGATTTCTGCAATGAACACTTTCCCAGATGCAACAACAACAGGAAACGAAAACACAAACTAAGCTACTTTCGATCATTTTGCTTGTTGCAGTTTTTACTTCAAACTGTTTTTTGACCTTTGAAAGAGCAGGCAGTGTGGACATCAACCCTTTTATCAACATCATCATCCAGAAGCAAATGGCTCCTTAATTTAATCAGGATCTCTTATTATCAAATTATTGCCTTGGCCACAGTGAGGCTGAAAACAGGAGCAGAACATTATCAAGCTGCTCAGGAAGCCAGTGAGTAGTAATTACTACCCCCGAGAACTGGTCATCTGTGTCCTACCTACTGGAAACGGAGTACAGCTGAGATTTATACCGTCCCTCACACCAAAATAATGGATGAACCAGTCAGGCTATTAAAAATAGGCCTGATTCTGTTCCCTTTTAATTCTCACATCCTCCAAATGGATGTCTCCAGGCAGTTACACATTCTAGACTTTGCAGCCTCTTGTTACCACCCGATTTTGGGTGTTTTACAGCAATGGAGTAACTGAAGCTAAGAAACACTAGGTGGCTGGAAATTCACACTAATCCATTTAGAAATAAAAAGAATCTGAGAAATTTTAAATAACTGCCTTTTGCTTCTGTTGTCTGACAAAAAAGTATCCTCTATTTTCTATAGGATGTCATATTAAACCATATGATTGAATATGTCAGACTCTACAGTAAATTCGCAGCCCAAAGAAGATTGTCTACATGATGTCTGCATTTCTGTGCCTCACGATCTTTATCATAGTCCTTCTTACTGTCTGCTTTAGACATCCAGTTCATTTTTATATTTTAAAGTCTTTCAGCTGGCGTGGTGGCTCACACCTGTAATCCCAACACTTTGCGGGGGCTGAGGCAGGAAGACTGCTCGAAGCTAGGAGTTTTAAGACCCTGGCCAATGTAGTGAGACCATCTCTACAGAAAATTAAAAAGATAATACATTTAATAAAAAAGAAAAAAAATTATTTCTCTTGAGGCCAGAAATTTGAGCAACATAGACCCTGTCACAGGAAAAAAAAAAAAAAAAAAAAATAGCTGGGTGCATTCCTATAGTCCCAGCTGCTCATGAGACTGAGGCAGGAGGACTGCTTGAGCCCAGGAGTTCAAGGCTGAGGTGAGCTATGATTGTGCCACTGCACTGCAGCCTGGCCAACAGAGTAAGACCTCGTCTCAAAAAAAATTTCTTCTTGAATTAAACTCTGCTCAATACAAACACTTCCTCCTGGTGACAGGCTGGTCTTTATTGAACAACTGAGAACAAGACAGACAAGCTTGTCATGCTTAATCATAATCCATTTCCAGTGAGGGAAGATCTGAATGGAATAGGACTCACAATGAGACTGTCCCAGCTTTCGCTGAGAATTACATGTGCTGTTTTAAATCATCCCTCTTTCACCATTACTCTTTTGCTCCACAATTAACAAATACTTAATTCTCTGTTGGCTAGAATTCAACACTGTATAGGAAGACACAAAACAGTGTCTATGTAGACTTCTTTAGTAAGGGGGCTGCTGGTGTAGAACTGTCTACCCAACTAGACAAAAGTGCAGACATGATGTAAACAATCCACTCTCTCCGACAATAAATGTACCTTTCACATATCCTTTCTCGGTAGACAAAGACTGCTTCAAGTATTAAATTAACTTACACAAAGGCGTACAATATATAATTATCTGCCACTTTCTATTTGGATACAAATGAAGCAATTCATGTTTTAAAGTCTTCTGCTGAATGCATTTTTAGAAGCTGACCGAGCTATGCTCTGAGCAAGCAAGCATATGAGTGAATGCAGACACATGACACTACAACAGAGTATCTGTTCACAGGACAGAATCCCCAGCCAGGGAGACTTGAATAGACTTGAATTGAGCCCCAGGAGCCAAAACATAGAGGGGCAGGGTACATTTCATTCTCTAAAGCAGCTCATGACTGCCTGAGGTGGAAGGTATAAACTAATCTCCCTGGGATAACAAGTATTTGAAAAAGGATTTTCTACAACAAGAATGGTTTTCTTAAAGACATTTCCAAATACTGAATGTCAAGGCCAAATTAATTCCATGAGAAACAAATCTTTCAAATATTATCTCTGCCACCCTTCATTCTTTTACTAAAGAGATTTTTTAAAGTATACAGAATTTCTCTTTCATTAATAACATTTACCATGCCCATCAGAACTCCACTAATGGTTCAGGTACAGTGGCTCATACCTGTACTCCCAGCACTTTGGGAAGCTGAGGTGGGTGGATCACTTGAGGTCAGGAGTTTGAGACCAGCCTGGCCAACATGGTGAAAACCCATCTCTACTAAAAGTACAAAAAATTAGCCAGGTGTGGTAGCGCACATCTATATTCCAAGCTACATGGGAGGCTGAGGCACGAGATGGAGATTACAGTGAGCCAATATTGCACCACTGCACTCTAGCCTGGGCAAGGGCATGACTCTGTCTTGAAAAAACTAACACTCCACTAATGAAAAAGGTGGGGAAAAACAATGTGTGATTACTAAGTAACAACCAAAACCACAGCTGGCTGGGATCCAGCAGAGCAGGGGACCAGCTAATTTTGCTGGAGGCCTGGGCAAGGGCAGCGAAGTCACCAACCTTAGTGCCCTTCTTGGTGCCTCAACTCCTCCAGAAGCTGAGATGGAACAGCTTAGAGGCAGGGAACACACAGATTTCCAACTTCTCCTCCCACACCCCTGCTCTCCACCACAGCCTGACAGTCTCCTACATGAGTAGCAGCAGCTGTGACTGCTGGTCTCCAAGATCATCAAGAGATACAACTGGAGAAGGCTGAGTTCACTGGAGAGGGGGCTGAAACAGAGTGTTTTCAGCTGGGTATGGGGTAGTCACAGACTGCTAGAAAAGTACATTACCATGGAGATGAAGTGGCCAGAGGCTGAAGAGGCAAGAGCTGCCCCTGCTCACTGTGGGATCAGCTGGATGGTGGGTCCATGATGGACAGAAGAGAAAATGAAAAGCACAATGGAGGCATCCACCACTGCTGTGTCTGGAGTTAATAACGTGTGTGCTAAGAAAGTGTCTTTGAAGCTGGGCATGGAGGCTCATGCCTGTAATCTGAGCATTTTGGAAGGCTGAGGTGGGTGGATCACTTGAGGTCAGCAGTTCAAGATTAGCCTGACCAACATGGTGAAACCCCGTCTCTACTAAAAATATAAAAATTAGCTGGGCATGGTGGTGCACACCTGTAATCCCAACTACTCCGGAGGCTGTGCAGGAGAATCGCTTGAACCTGGGAGGTGGAGGCTGCAGTGAGCTAAGATCACGCCACTGCACTCCAGCCTGGGTGACAGAGCGAGACTCTGTCTCAAGACAAAAACAAAAAACCAGAAAGTGTCTCTGAATTCTTTCAAAAGCTGAATTCTCAAAAGGCTGCTCCCCAATTATCACATTTTTTTCATGTTGAAAGTCCCTGATAAGTATGGAACCTACAGAGATGTAGCTGATCCCATAGAGCATAAACTTTGTTGCTGGCCAAG